AACACGTCATTGAGAAGTCTGTGCAGAAGATTGTTTCCCTGCTGGCGGGATTTGGGGAAACCGCCGAGAGACATTTGTCAGAGAGAGCCATGCTCACAGCACATGACTGCTACCAGGAGGCCGTGACCCACTTCCGCACACACTGCTTTAACTGGCACTCAGTCACGGTGAGCCCAGCCAGGGTCCTCAGGTCCCCTGCATCTGAGATCGTAGTGCTAAACTCAGATGCACTGGCTTGTACTGAAAGAATCTATCTGGGCCTTGGGAAGCTGGATTTATGGTCATGTGTCTTGTTTACCAAGAGTGTCTTGTGACAACTCCCATTACTTGTTGGCTTTGAAGGGTGCTTGCTTCTCTTGATGATGTGGCCCCCACACCCCTCACCCCATCCTCATATCTCCAGACATTGGCTTCTTTCTTCCTCCTGATGTCTTCTGTCTGTTAGATTTTTGGCACCATTGTTAGATTTTCACTCGTAGCTTAGACAGATAACGCCAGACCAAATGGTTCCACGGAAGGGGGTTTATTTCGGGCGAAGGTAAGAGAGCGAGAGGAGAGAGAGACAGAAATCAGAGAGGTAGAGGAGTAGAGGCCGGCCATGACCACGTGGAGAGAGAGGGAAGGTAAGTGGGGAGGGGGAGGGGGCAGAGAACCTGTAGGCAGAGGGATCAAGGGAGCAAGAGAGAGAGAGAGGAGGGGGCAGGCAGCCCCTTTTATAGTGGGCAGGCCTACCTGGCTGTTGCCAGGTAACTGTGGAGGTGGAGTTTAGACAGAATACTAACACTGTCCATTCCCCAAGATTTATTGTTGGAGCACACTCTAGTCTGTGGAAAAGGAAGAACGCTGTTTTGGCCAATTGTAGATCTGTCAGCTAGCTGGTCCCTAAAAAGGCCTGTGGTTACAATGGGATGCTTGAATCCTGCTGGAGGAAGGTGGGCAGACTGTGGCCCGTAGGCCAAACCCTGGCAGAGCCTGCTTTGCACCTTTGGCATTTGTATCTAGTTCTTCCGTCCTCAGCTGGGTTCCCAGGATCAGCTGAAGCTGGACAGTGTCTCAGCAGCCCCACCAGCCCTGAGGTTGTGTGCGAATGTTTGTCTCCCCTTGGGAGAGCGTGTCAATACCTACAGATTGCCGAAAGAAGATGGCAGATCCGTGCCCTAAACAGACCTAGAACTCCTGACTGAAATGGCTTTGTCTCTGCGGCTGCAGAAGCAAGGCAAGCTGACTGCGTGGTGAGATGCTCACGTGCGGTTCTTTGTTTTCTTGCAGTATGAGCATGCCCTGCGGCACTTGTATGTGCTGGCCAACCTCTGTGAGAAGCCGTATCCGATTGACAGGTAAAGCAGATGCTTGGCACTGGGAAGACGGGCATTATTCTGAAAGCACAGCAGGGCAGACCACTGGCCTGAGTAGACTATATCCACAACCCAGTCTTTTTCCTGGGACTACGAATCAGTGGAATCGGAGGGCCTGGGTTCCCAGTGGTGATGGCTAGGGACTTTGTCCTGCATGACTCCTACCCAGAACTGGAAAATGTCTTGCTATCTTCAGGGATGGCTTAACTTGTCTGATTCATCTTCCTGATTCTTGCAGGATAAAGATGGCCATGGACAAGGTGTGCCTTAGTCACTACTGAACAGCTCTCTTCCCAGTGCTTCTCAAAGAGTCAGCACAGTCCGCTGGAATGTGAACCAACCGGAGACTGAAAGGGTGGAACCAGAGGCAGCAACTAACCCCCGCCCTCAGGAACAGCACCTAAACCCCGCCCCCAGGAATACGGCAGCCCACCCCAGGACTGGCTTTCTGAAGAAGCCGGTTTGTGTGGGTTAAAGCTCTCTGGAGGAAGAAACTTTCGCTTCTTAGGAGTTTTTTGGTTTGTTTTGTTGTCCATTAGCTTTCAAGAGCAAATTCACCTCGGCTTCTGTAGCCAGTGAAGGAATCTTCTGAGAAATTCGAAGCTGAAACCTCTTGCCATCTTCACAGTGATTTTACTGAAGAGGGCCCCTATGGGAGAATTATTTTAAGAATGTATAATTTTTGGTTGATTTTATATTTTATTCTGTAATAATGAATGTCTTAAGAAAAATAAGTGAAGTGAGACATTTGTTTCTGGACTCTGGCTTCATGGTTTGTGTTTTACCCTCGTGGTGGGCTGTCCCCTCCCTCCTCCCTGCTCTGGAATGCTCCATGCGCTGTGAGCCTGCAGCACTCCCCCCACCCCCCCCACTTTCCTTTTGCCCTGGAATGCCTGTTTAGTTTTTCACCCCATTCAGTTTCAGAGGCCTTTTCTTCTTTAAGTTTGGTCCTATTCTTCGTCTTCCTACCTGTTATGGTCCCCTACAGGCTTGGATGCTGAGTGTTTGGTCCCTAGCTGGCAGCACTGGTTTGGAAAGTTCTGGAAACTCTAGGATGTGGAGCCTAGCTAGAGGAAGTAGGTCTCTGCAGATGTACTTTGGAGGCCATGCTTGATGTCTAGACTCCTCCTATTGCTCCGTTTCTTGCCACTGGGGGTGTAGGGGGAGGGGGAGGGGTAGAACCTTCTCTGCCATATACTACACTCAATTCTGCTCAAGCAACCATGTATTGAACCCTCAGACTATGAAGCAAGGTATTAGTAAGTCCTCCCCCACTAAGCTTTTTCACCATGCTGAGATAGCCTGATTAATCCAGAGACGCCATCAGAAGCAGCTGTTCCTGGCCCTCTGTGTCCATGCATCTCACGGTCAGGTGCAAGGCAGTGAGGGAACACGCCCCTCTGTTTCTCTGGCACAGTACACTCAAGGTGATGAGGTTGTTAGAGACGTGACCTCAGTGCTCTGTATCCATGCAGGAGAATATTGTAAACAGCAGGAAAAAGGAATGGAGTACCTATATAGGCCATAGCATTATTAAGCCAATTGAAGCCAAGTGCTAAAACCATGTATTACGTAGCTTTATGTGACAATGTGCTGAATAGGCAGATTCACACAGAGAGACACCAATGGGTGCCAGCGACTAAGGAAGTAAGTGGGAAGAAAAGTAGCTGGGTAAGCCCGCTCCCCCCACCCCCTTTTATAGGATCTCACAATGTTGAAAGGGAGGCCTGGAACTCAGGAATCCTCCTGTCTCAGCTTCCCAGATAGCCAGGACACAGGTGTGCCCCTTCACGCCTGGTTCAGTTTGCTTCCAGGGATGCTGGAAGGTTAGGAAGCTGAGGACCATGGATGCTCAGTTGATTGCATGTTCTAGGAAGGAGAGATTTCTTGCACGTCTCACCCCTTACGCCAGATATAACATAGAACCTAGGCTGTGGGGCTGGAGCGATGGCTCAGTGGTTAAGAGCGCTGGCTGTTCTAGAGGACCCAGGGTCAATTTCTGAGCACCCACATGATGGCTCATAACTGTGTCTAACTCCAGTTCCAGGGCAACCAGTGCTCTTGTCTGGCCTCCATAGGTACCATGCACACACGTGGTGGATAGACATACATCCAGGCAAATCCGTCATATACATAAGAAAACATTAAAAATAAAACCAAACAACCCCTAAGCCTATGCTATAGACTATTAGCAATAAGGTCAACAGTGGGCTGTGACTAGTTATATTTTGAGGGTGCCACATGTCATATGCTGTGGTGCTAGGGTGATGGCTCAGTGACCAAGACCTCAAACTGCACTTGCAGAGGACCTGAGTTGGGGGTCCTCACACCTGTAATGGCTCGCAACCCTGTAGCTTCAGCTCCAGAAGCTTCAGCTCCAGAGGCTTCTGAGGCCCCCTTCTGGTCTCCGTAGGCACTGCATGCACCTATTCATACCCCTGACACACATGTACATAATTAAAAAAGTAAAGTAAGTCATGGAATTCCATGCGACTTTCAACTGCCCAGGAGGTTAGATTATATGTTTTAACTGAGAGAATTAAGTGGCATGTGAGTTAAGTCTCACGTTTTCAAATCCAGGCGTGGATGGTACGTATCTGTAGTCCTGGCCACTGATGAAGCTGAGGCAGGAGGATTGCTGAGTCTAGGAGTTCAGAGGTAGCAGGGGTAGCATAGCAAGGCCATGTCTTAAGGCTGTAAAGAGAGAGTCATATAGCGAGGTGGGTACTGGGATGAAAGGCAGCATTTGGGCTGATGATACAGCTCGCTTAGTCATGTGGCCCTGGGTTCCATCACCATATAAACTGGTCATGATAGTGCACACCTGTAATTCCAGTAGCCCTAGAAGGTTCTAGATCAGCGGTTTTCAAGGAAGTGGTGAATGACTCTTTCCAGGGATTGCCTAAGACCATGGCAAAACAGCTTATGAACATTATGATTCGTAACAGTAGCAAAACTACTCGTTCTGAAGTAGCAATGAAAATTATTTTATGGTTGGTGGGGAGGGTCGTGGCATTAGGAAGGCTGAGAATCACTGTTCTATACACTCAAGCCTATCCTTGGCTAATAATGAGCTTGAGGGCTTACTCATGAGAACCTGTCTCCAAAAAAAAAAAAAAAAAAAAGCCATTAATTAAACGCAATAAGTCTGACCAGCTGTCAGTGCATGACTAACACTGGGTATCAGGGGAGACTTCCTGGAGGTGGACTTTGAAAGACGCATATAAGAGCGAACCAGGCGAGGATCAAGAGGATTGGAATTCCCAAGTGTAATAGCATAAGGGTAGGAGGGATGGTTCTAGAAACCGTCCTGAGCCTGGGGTGATGGGAACCAGGGATGGTGGAGATGCAACAGGTCTCGGACTGGTGAGCGGAACTCAGGCCTCTTCAGAGGAGTGAGCTTTTGCAAAAGAGCTTTTATTAACACCCCCTACCCCCATAGTGCATCTTGTCAACACCGATGGCCTGTGGTGTTTCCATCACAGACCAGGTCTTTCAATGCCCCCTGACCCCGCCCCTCTCCCCCAATCTCATGGCATTGGTTGAACTTGACCATGTTTCCCAGGAGCTTGGCCGCTTCCAGTGTGGCTCAGGAGTCCTGGCAGGCTAGGTACTCTGGTAGGTAAAGACAAGCTGAGGCAGGGGTGAGGTGCAGGGCTGTCTCTTCAACACAATACTTAGATCTTGGGTTGTGGTGGAACATTTCAGCTCCATCCCGAGGCTCAGGGAGCAGCTGGGGTCAGGAACCCCTTCATTAGCCAGTCCTGGGGAACGTGAGCTCTTTCAGGGAAGACTAAAGATCGGGGGTAGGAGGTGGGACAGGGCCAGGGGAAGGCAGAAAGAATTGCCTGAGGAATTGGGTGTGAGCAGCGTTGGGCTTGTTTGCTACAGTTGGCTAGAGAGCGTCTTCCACCTGAGCCTTGGTTTTCCTTACTGTCCAATGAAGAACATGATGCCTCAGGCTATGAGTCTGCCTGATTGGCTTAGGCATGCTAAGTGGGTGGGCGTTGCCCCAATGTGATTGACGCAGGCACCTACGTGGGCACCTCTCAGGAGATCTTGCCAACACAGCTCAGTGGGGGGTCATCTTATAGGAAGTTGGGCTCCCGCACCACTATATAGGGCTGGCCTGAAGCATCTTTGCCACTGTCCTGGGGCCGGTACACAAAGTGGAAGTCTCGCTTGGGCTCGCTCCGGAGCAGATAGCCCTTGATGCGGTGCGGCAGAGCATCGTCAGCCAGCTGGAAGCAGCGTCCATCCACCAGCACGAAGAGCCGGTAGTCTTGGGGCTGTGCCACCTCAAACTTCTCAGCGCACTGTGCACACAGTGCCTGGGCTGCTGTGTCTGCTCGTGATGCCAGTGTCCGTGACTGCTGCTCGGGCTTCAGGTAGGACACACAGATGAAGTCCTGCAGGCAAGATAGAGGAGGTTTGAGGTTATCAGGCTTGACCAATAGCATTCTGGCTCACCCTCATCTCAACATTGGGAGCTAGGGCCAGCGGACAGGAGCATGGTGACGTTGGACCTGTCTTTGCCTTCTCTTGGACAGAGGGGGGTCTCAAGCAAGCTGAGAGTAAGGGCAACTGTGTCCTCTTCTTACTCTGCCACTGAGCGTGGTAGGTAACTCTTCCTTCTCTGGGTCTCACCTCCCCACTGGACTTATTCAGGGTGATTCAGTCAGGATTCAAATATGGATTTATTTCTCCTGTGTATGTGTGATGTATGTGTGTACCCCAAATGTCCCAGGACAACTCTGTGGAGTTAACCTTTACATAGATTCCAGGGATTGGACTCATATTTTTAAATTTGCCTGTCAAGCTAAGTCATCAATTCCTGGCCGATTCAGTCATTATTGAGTCACGACAATGGGAGAGTCCCGTCCCCTGCCCTTAGCCAGTCTTCAGGCTCTTCATTATTCTCCCTAGTCAGCATGGTTCAGTCATACATTCATTCTGCATCTCTCCACTGAGACGGCCCTGCCCCTCAGGTGCAGTGCTGGAACGCCGTATAAAGCTGCAGGTGTAGATTATAATCCTAGCACCTCACAGTTCAGGCAAGCGGAACCGTTTGGCCTCTGAGAGCAGGAGTTGTCTCTGTGGTTTAGAGGCAGGGAATGAAGAGGCTTGAGGGAAGCTACGAGGTGGGGAGCTGAGGAAGGGGTGAGTTGAGGAAAAATGGAGGTGGGCATGTGAGGTGATACCTGTGGTGCTGGGAAAGGGTGATGCACTATGAGTCCCTGGGTTCCCTGCCCTTCCTGGCTTTGAATATGGCTCTGTTTGTTGTGTGACCCTGACCACTGCTGCTTTGACTGTAGACTGAGGACAAGAGCCACACACTGCCACTAAGCCGGTGTGAAGTCATGTGTGCGGGGCTGCCTTACCGTGGATGGAGTGGCAACATCAGCAGATGGCTCACAGCCACAACCACGAAGATGCTAATGACCATGTTACAGGGTGGAGTGCCAGGGTCTGGGCCCCACTGTAGGCTTCTGTTATTTTCCAGAAGGGAAAGGTGGGACAGAGGTGCTGTTGGGGGTGTGTGCGTGGTGGGTTGGCATTCTCTCATGCCAATGTATACCAGCTTGGGACAGTCTATGGTATGCATCTCCTTCTAATTCCCAGTTCAGCGATGCAAGCTGAGATGGACCTTGTTGGGAGGGAGTATTTACATCAGGGAAAGTGGCGGAAGCTGGAAGCTGAGACCATCGCTTTCTTTCCCTTCCCCACTGGTTCTAAGGTGCTGTTGATTCCAGGAAGGCGTAGAGATGCTAGGTTGGCATCTGTGAGCAAGGGCAGGGATGCAGGACACACTCGGTTCAGCCAGCTCACGTGGATGGGAAGTGGCGTTTCTGAGGGGGCGCAAGACTGCACGACAAGTTTAGTAACCATCGCCTTCCTAACGATTAACCTAGGGCTTTTTAGGATAGAGGATGGAGGCTTATCTACGGACGGTTTTGCTAAACTAAAGGGGATGGCTAGAATCAACTCTTAGTTCAAAGCTGGGTCCAGAATTCAGGCCTCCTACCTCCCAGAGGCCTGGGCTCCATTTTCTATACAGAGTCTCTATAACTATGAATAGTTCAGGAGGGTTGTCTGGCTTCCTGGTCCAACTCTACATGTTTTCTACACACTGGCTTCCCATTCTGCTCCAGATCCTGGGTTTCAGGCCTCTGAGACACATGAACCACGGGCACTGTCCTCCCCATATGAGAGCTTCCTACACAGAGGATTTACAACACGGCACTGATTACTGTAACGGGAAGCCGTGGCCAGCAGCACCGAGAAGAATGGTATGTGTATGTAGCCATACCACTTTGTCCATTGGGTTATAACACCTTCCTGGTGGCACTTCTATGCCCACCCAGGACCTGCAGAACTAGGCAGGTTGGCAGGTAGAGCCTTGGATTCCTCTGTGGGAAACCCATTGCTCACCCTGAGAATAGTAGGGCTGGCGGGTCAAAGGAGTCAAGCACAGGTGGTACCTGTACAGTTTGTAGCCCCAGACACTATAGTAGTCACCAGCATCACCTGCACAGAGGAGCGGGAGGCCCGGGCCTTGTTGAGCGTGCGCCTGCGTTCCCAGCGATGGATGGAGTCCTGAACCTCCACGCTCAGCTGTCTGGTCACTGTGATCTTGTCATAGTTCTTAATGTGCTCCAGGGCTCCATAGGTGGTAGTCAGATAGTAGGAACCTGTGGGGTCAAGGACACAGGCTGAGTGAGAAAGGTCTGGATCCACCGCACTGGGAGGGAGCTGGTCCCAAAGCGTGTGGCCCCGCCTATTGCTTCCAACATGCCCCTCCTTCCATAGCCACCAGGGGGCGGCCATGCTCTACAACCTGCTTAAAATGCTTCATTCAACTACAGTGCGGTTGGCATTTAATAGAACCCACCTCACATCTTTCCTTAGCCCCGTTCAAGAAGGAATCATGTGAAATATTCTATATATAACATATAAAATTATATATATGACTATTTTAAATATAATTATAAATTAGAAATGTTATTTGCAATTACATATAATTATATATGGTTATATAATATAAAATATAAATTCTCTATATACATGTACATACATATATATATATATAATTATTTTTAGACAGGGTCTCACTACTTAGCCCTGGCCTGAGATTCATTTTAAAGACTAGGCTAGCTTTAAACTCATAAAGATCCACCAGCCTCTGCCTTCTGAGTGCTGGGATTACAGGTATGGTTGGTTTACCACACCTGGCTAAGGATACTTATTCCATGTGGCTGAATTGGAAAGAGAACAAACAAACCCAGCAATTCCTACAAGTCTGTTCATCCAAACTCGGTATTCTTAAAATGTTTGAAACTAAGTTAGAAATTTAAAATGCGATTTTCAAGTGTTTTAAAATATATAGGACACATAAGAAACTGAGAGGCGGGGATGCCTGTGGGAATGTGGAGAAGGCACTGGGAGCCAACCCTCTCACTGAATTATACACGTGTTTAACATGTAGCACCATGAATGTATTACCTATTATAAAAACAATTTTCAAAGATGCACAGGAAAGTTTAGTTATCTCATGAAGTTTTTTTTTAAAGATTTATTTATTTATTATATATGAATATACTGTAGCTGTTTTCAGACACACCAGAAGAGGGCATCAGATCTCATTACAGATGGTTGTGAGCCACCATGTGGTTGCTGGGATTTGAACTCAGGACCTCTGGAAGTGCAGTCAGTGCTCTTAACCACTGAGCCATCTCTCCAGCCCCTCACATGAAGTTTATAAGGATTTAAAACAGTAAAAGTATTTGCTGCTACACAGCCGTAGTATCAGCAGCACTCGGGAGGCAGAGGCAGGCGGGTATCTGCGAGCTGGATGTCCACCTGGTTTACATAGCCAGACAGAGCTTCAAAGCGAGATCCTGTCCACTTAAAAATGTATTACATTTTAAATTTTATTTTGTGTGCACATGTGTACATGTGTTTGTGGGTACACTCAACTTGTAGAAGTCAGTTTCCCCTCCTTTACCACAAGAGTCCCAGGAATTGAACTGAGGTCTTCAGACTTTGTGGCAACTGCCTGCCTTTACCCACCAAGATATTGGCCCTCTTAAAATTTTCCTTTAAAAGTAATCTTAAGGCTGGGCGGTGGTGGCGCACGCCTTTAATCCCAGCACTTGGGAGGCAGAGGCAGGCGGATTTTTGAGTTCGAGAGTTCGAGGCTAGCCTGGTCTACAGAGTGAGTTCCAGGACAGCCAGGACTACACAGAGAAAACCTGTCTCGAAAAACCAAAAAAAAAAAAGAGTAATCTTAATCTGTAATGTTTCCTCAAGTAATTGAGGCTTTATGGTACTTCAAGCTGCATAAGCCATGAAATTTTAAGTTCAAAGGTAATACTTTGCTGGGATGTTTATCTGGCCATCGACTTGTTAGGGGTTTAGAACCTTGCTGAGATCTTTCACTTTATTTGATTTTTTGGTAGCTTTTATTTTTAAATTTATTTGTTTTATGTATATGAGTATGCTGTCTCTGACACACCAGAAGAGGGCATCGGATCCCATTACAGTTTTACATGTGAGCCACCATGTGGTTGCTGGGAATTGAACTCCGGACCTCTGGAAGAGCAGCCAGTGCTCTTAACCGTTGAGCCATCTCTCTAGCCCGAGAGCCTTCACTTTAAAGCAGTGGTTCTCAACCTTCCTAACGCTGTGATTCTTTAATACAGTTCCCAGTCATAGGATTACTGTATTTTTGCTATTGCTATGAATTGTAAACATGTAGGATATCTGATTTGCAGCCCTCAAAGGGGTCATGACCTACAGGTTGATAACTGTTGCATTAAAGGGAAGAAATTGAATCCCAGAAGAGGGTGACGTGGCCAAGATCACACAGTACCGCTCCCCCTCCCCCCACCCCTAGCATCCTGCTTTCTTCCAGTCCCTAGCTTTCCTGACACCCTCTAGACTGCTTTTCCTGGCTATTGAGGCCAGGCCAATGGTTTTGGACACGAGGTCAGTAATCCACCCCAATCCATCTTCCCGCCCTAACTATGGGTGATCCACTGCTATCTGAAGTGGCCCTGGATGAAAATGTTCGCTTCCAGACTCCTTAAGCTTGGCTGAACAGGCACAGCTCTGAGTCCTGCCCCTGTGGCAGAGAGAGCAGGGCAAGGTTAGAGATGCTCTGATTCTGAGTCCTGGAGATGAATGAGCAGGGCGAAAAGTCACTTGCTTTTCTATGCCATGTGTGAAGGGGTGGGGCTTAGTCACGCTTGGGTCACTTAACTATATGAGCTCAGACAATAGTTCTGGGGGTTTCTGGTCCTCTCAGAGGCAGAAGGGAGGAACTCCAAGCCCTGTTGGGGCTCTCCTAGCCCTTCAAGTCCTATACAATCCTGTAACGCCCTTCTAGTCATCTTTGATGGAGATCATGTAGTACCCACTATGAGCACTAGGTGGCGGGCGACACCACTATGAGTTTTGCAGACACTTCCCAGTCAGTATGTGGTAGATTGATTGGCAAATCCATTGGTGGGATTATCTGGGCACAGGCTAGGGAGGGCACATGGGCAAAAAGGACTATGAGGACATGTGTGGGAGATGTTTGGATTCTTGGTTGGCTCCAGCCAGGCGATTTCCCTAAGATGGGGTGGGATATGGGGTGGGTATAAGAAGGGGGGTCCCATCAGTCCGCCAAGCTGCTCACAGGATGGGCCTGATCTCTGCTTCCACAAATGCCTGTTGGGAAGACCATGGGAACCAGCTATCTGATCTGGGATAAGTCACACAACGCCACAGGCCGGAGGGGTCACGAGAACACGTAGGAGAGGGTGTTTCCACAGGCGGAGAGTGATCCAGTGCGGACACCTGCACAGTGCCTTGTTTCTCAGGACTTTCATGGACACTGTCTCAGGGTGGCTGTCAACTCTTTCAGCAGTGCTGGTTAGAGACCCCTGTCGATTTCTTTGGTCTCTGGGTGCTTCCACGGACATGGTGAAACCCAAGAGGGAAGCCTTGAGGAGAGGAGGTCCTAAATGTGAGAGTGAGGTGTCTGTTGATTTTCACGAGACTCCCAGACTTTCCTGTCTGGCTCTGCATTGCAGCCCCAGTGTCTGGCATGGATGGTTCAATGACTGCACGGGTTGGTGGATGGAGATGTGGGGGATGGGTAGGAAGACGACAGAGTATGTATGGATGAGTTGATGAGTGGGTAGATAAGTTTATGGATGGATGGACTGGTGATGAGATGAATGGGTAGGTGGGTGAACAGATGGGTGGGCTGGCGATTGGAGGATGGATGGAGAGATGGGTAGATACGTAAATGAACTGGTGGATAGCTAGGTAGATAGGTAGATGGACTGATGTAGGTGTGGATGGGTAGATGGATGGATGGGTGGGTGGATGGGTCAGTAGGTAGGTAGATGAATGAATAGGTGAATGATGGGTAGAAGGACAGACGGATGCATGGGTAGACATGTGGATGGATAGATGGATGTACAAGTAGACAGATGGTGAGTGGAAGGGTGGATGGATGTGTTGACGGACTGAAAGAAAGCTTGTATCTTTTGCATCCCTGGACTCCAATTGCAGGTAACATGTAACTAAAGAGGAAAAACAGGCAGCTCCAGGTGCCACAGGCACAGCTCAGAGCTGCATACGACGGCAGAGCTACATACGGCAACGTTCTCTGCTTTCCCTGTTCCCCTGAGCTGAGAAGACCTCAACGAAGCACTACATCAGGCTTTCCACCTCCAGAAGTGGCAGATGCAAACTTATGCAAAGAGGGACAGCCACTCTCAAGAACCACAAAGCCCAAAGGGGATGCTTGTGCCTGGGAGGCTGGGTCCATTCTTCGATGGTGGAAGCCCACAGGACATGTCATGGTCCCTTAGAGCCCATATCTGGGCTTCTGTATCTCAAGCGATTCTTAGTAGAGGGGTAGCTGAGGCCCTAGCCAGAGGAAGTGGTGGGTGGAGGGACAGGGGAAGGGAAACTGAGATAGGCCGAAGCAAATCACACACCCTTCCTTCATTCAACCAGGGAGCACAGAGCCCTCAGTGCCTCAGTGACTTCGTCCTATGGCCAGAAGTCCTGGCCAGGGCTGACTCTCAGCCCCTCCCCCACCCATCTAAGAACAGATCTCTATATTCATTATACTCCAGGGAGACAACGTCTGCCATTTTTTTGCATCATCTGTTAAACTACTAACTTCTGTTGTGCCTCCAGGAAGAATGCCATTCCTGTTCTTCTTTGTTTTTAAACTTAATTAATGCATTTCGTTTTACTGGCTTACTTCTGAATCAGGGTCTCACTAAGCAGCCCCGGCTGGCCTAGAACTTAACTGTGCAGAACACGTTGGCCTTGAACTCACAGAGACCCGCCCACCTCTGTCATCCGAGAGGGCTGGAATTGAAGGTGTGTGCCACTTTGACCAGCTCCTTCCTCTTCTTTCTCTGTTGGCTCCTGCTCACCCTTCAATGCTCAGCCGAGGCATCACCTCCTCCAGGAGCCCTCCCTGACTGCACTGTCAGGGTAGCATGCTCCCAGTCTCTTTGAATTTCCTACTGTCAAAGTTTTGTCACTTTTCTTTGCAACCTGTCTTCCTGGTCAATGAGCTATTAGGGCAGGGCCTGTGTGCATGTCCCTAGGGCTTAACATTAGTCTGGCCCTACCTAAGAAATCCTTGCCAGGCCACCTGGCGTGGGAGTGGGTGGGCCTGGGTTGTTGGGAGATGGTGGTGGGTGTGGGGTGGTGGTACGCTCACCCTCTCCTAACTGCAGGGCGGGGTCCATGAGCTCCATCATGTACTCCACGTTGAGAAGCATTTCCGTGAGGTTGCTGCGGGCCAGGACGTACATGAGCACAGGCAGGAAGTCGTCGGCCCCGTAGGGCTTCCCTGCGAGGAGAAGAGGATGAAGGCTGTGAGTGCCAGCCTGTGAGCCACTCAGGGACCCAAGGTGACCCTGGAAGAGCAAGGTTCTGCAGGGTTCAATGGTGGGGACCCTCACAACTCCCAGGGTGGCTCAGTACAGGTGACAAGAAGGAACTGAGAGAGAGCTCCGTCTAGGGTGACAACACTCTGGTTCCTTGCCCTTTCCTGATTCTGAGGCTGCCCTGGGCTGCTTGCTGGGTTATCTCAGTCTCATCACACTCAGTTCACAGGCCGACCACTGCTGCATGGGCATCTGCAGGGAAAACTGAGATCCAATCCTGTGCCCAAGATCCACCTCTGCCCCCGAGATCCACCTCTCCCCCCGAGATCCACCTCTGCCCCTGAGCTCCACCTCTGCCCCTGAGATCCACCTCTGCCCCTGAGATCCACCTCTGCCCCTGAGCTCCACCTCTGCCCCTGAGATCCACCTCTGCCCCTGAGATCCACCTCTGCCCCTGAGATCCACCTCTGCCCCTGAGATCTATCACTACCCCTGAGATCCACCCCTGCCCAAGATCTTCTACTGTGCCTGAGATCTACCACTGTTTAAGAACCTCACTGTCCTTGAGAGCCATTCCTGCCCCAAGATCTATCATTGTCCAAGATCAATCACTCCACCAAGATCAATCACTCCACCAGAGACTACCATTGTGCCTGCGATCCACTGCTGCCAGTGGTCCAACCCAGAGCCCCACGTGTATTCGCAGTTGACTGGGAGGAGAGATACTTCATAACAGAATTTCCAAGTGAGAGGCAGAAATGGAAACTGACCTGCAGTGCTGGCCAATTTCCATCCTGTAACCATTTCCACAGTGACCGAGTTCAAACTGCAGACCTGCACATGGACTTGGGAGGAGATGTGTAACTAGCTCCCCTGAATTGGTATGAGCCACCTCCTTCAGCACACCAACAGCCTTACACACCACAGGCTCAACCTCACCATGGGCAGGTCAAGGCTCAGAGCTGGGAGGCCTGTGCTCAGAGGTCTGTGCTGATCACTGGTGGGACCAGATTCACGTCTTTCCCCCAGTGATGGCTTACAGACCAACACCAGCTTCGAGCGCAGTTGGAACATATGAGCTCCTGGGTGACTCTTCCAGCTGTCCAACAGGCAGCACTCCCTGGGAGATGAGTACAGCTTTGAAATGCTTCTCTTGTGATCTGAACACCTGGCTTGCATGGACCAGAGCTCATGCCCTGCTAGGGGCAGCCTGTGTTTCCTGATTTTAGCTTCTGTTTCTCCCAGTTCCATCTGTTCACCACCTGTAGGCACACAGAGCTGGCAGAGACCTTCTGTGCATTTCATGGGCTGGGGAACTTTGGAGAGAGTGAACTCTTTTTTTTTTTCTCTCCCAGAGTCAGGGTTTCTCTGTGTAGCCCTGGCTGTCCTGGAACTCATTATGTAGACCAGGCTGGCCTTAAAACTTAGATCTGCCTGCCTCTTTCTCCTGAGTTCTGGGATTAGAGATACATGCCACCACTGCCCAGCCAAGAAATAAGCCAAGGGGTGCTCATCTGGGGGCCCTGAACATTGGAATAGGACATTAGGAAGGCCCTAGCTAGGTCGTTCTAGTTCTGCATGGTCAGGCCTCTCCTTAGGCCATGACAAGCCTCAGTTTCTTCATCTGAACACTGGGATGTTCAGATCAAGTCAGTCTGTTACTCAGGATTGATGTGTGTCAAATGAGTGGCTGACAAAGTATAGTCATTTGGGAGGCATTATCTCAAAGGCTAGCATAAAGTGGCAGGTAGGAAATGTTCAGTGTAGGAAGACACACCTTGGAGGTAGAGGGCATCGTTTCACGGGTTGGGCCCTGAACTGTCTACGGTACAGAAAGCTAGCTGAGTATTGGATCCACATGTTCCATCCCCTCTCTGCTCTTGACCCTGGGTGTGAGGCTTCAGGTTGCTGTCTGCCTTGATGTTATTGCCCTGGAACAATGGACGGGAACCTGGGGTTGTAAGCTGAAGTAAACCTTCCCTCCCTTTCCTGGTCTAGATCAGCGAATGCCCAGACACGGAGGGTCTCACCCCACTCTACCTTCCTTAGCCACATGGAGACATCGGATGGCAGGTTCGTGTTTCTGCTCTATGTGGCAATGCCCAGGACATCCGAAAGCTCCATAGGCATGAAGACTCTCAATAATAAACACGGGTGACTTTAGTCACTAGAATTCAGTTTAGCATAGATCTTAAAAAATAACTTTCCCTCTGTCTCCTCCACATGCAGGCAATGCATTAGGTTCCTGGGTCACCATCCAGAGCCCTCCAGCCACCATCCCTGCCTGAACCACTAGTGGATTCTTGGCCTCTGTGAGGAAGTAGATGGTGAGGGAAGTTGGTCTTTATTACCAACCTGTTGGCTCTACAGCCAACCTTTGAGGTCTATGAATCCAGCCCTTGGTCCAAGCAAGCTGCAAGTTCAGGCCCAGCTAAAGGCATGGAGGGCAGCCTTCAGCATTCGGAGCCCTTTCCATGTCTTCTGGATTTATATTGGTTTGCTATATTATATTACATTGGTCTTTACCTAGGTTCCCTCTCCCTTTCTGTCTTCCCTGAGGGAACTTTGATCTGTTCTTCCCACTACAGGAATGGATTCCTTTGCCTACCTCTGGATATTCCAGAGCTGGGAATGACTTCCCTGTCAGATATACAGAATACAAATTGAAAAGCCTAACTACCCTTGCCAAGTTCTATAAACTCTGCAAGGACCTCGTCACTCCCAGGTACGATGGATGTTTACCCAAAGCCATTCGTCTCTTTAATTTCCCAGCCTGCCTGACCCAGGACCCTCAAACTTGCGCTCAGTTGCTCTCCCCAAGCCTGGTGCTTGCGCTGGATGGTGGGCTGGCACAGCGCAGTGAGTGTGGCATAGGTTTGGCACGATATGGCTTTAGGTTTGTATTTTGGCTGGGCCTATCTAGACATGTATGACAGCATTTACCTCTTAGGAAAGGATGGTGTGACCAGTTACATTTGGCTCTTGTGACTTCAAGTGTAGCCCTTTTCCTGCTATCTCAACTGGTCCCACCTATGTCTAGGCTGTTGTAGTCTCTTTTAAATGGGCTGCATGGTCTGTGTATGTGCTTCTCTCTCCTGTGTAGTGATGACAGGAGAGAGGCAGTGTGGTGGTCTTCTTGTTCAGAGAGGAGGCCTGGAGGCCTAGGATGGGTAGAGGTCTGGGTAAGGCCTAAGTTGCCTAAAGTCTAGGGTTCTTTAAGTCTAGGAAGCCAGAGGTTTATGGAGCCTGAGGTCTAAGAGCAGTGTTGGGCAAGTGTGGTTCGGTCCTGCTGAACACGCTCAACTGTTAGCTCAACACAGGCTGTAGCTCTGCCTTGCTAAAGGGTTCCCAATGGCTCCCAGGCCTTCAGCACAGGGATGTTGGCCTGTGTTTCAGTCACAAGGCTACAGCCAGATAGCATGAGATGCTGGGAACATGGAATGGAGTGGGGTGAGGTAGAGAACGGGGAAGCCTTGAAACCACCAGTGTCAAGTCTGGGGTGAATCTGAGTCAACTGAGATGCAGCTAAGAATGTGTCATTAGGGGCTAAAGAGATGCTTAGCAGTTAAGAGCACTGACTGCTCTTCCAAAGGACCCGGGTTCAATTCCCAGCACCCACATGGTAGGTCACAACTGTCTGTAATTCAGGGGAACCAACACCCTCATACAGAAAGGCATGCAGGCAAAACACCATTGTACATAAAATAAAAATAAATAAAAAAAAAAGAATGTATCACCCCCATGTAACTGTAATAGTTATCTGTCAACTCAATAGAATCTACAATCAACTGGGAAATGGATCTCTGGGCATGCCAATCACAGAAATTGGTTACATTAACTGAGGAGATTCATCTTAATTTGAGTGCGATCTGGGCTGTAAAAATGGCAGAAAGTGAGTTGAGCATTAGCTAGCATTTATTGCTGGTTTTTTTTTTTTTGACCTTGGAAGGCAATGTGACCAGCTGCTAGACTTCCCAGCTGGGAGGGGCTGCCCCTTGAACTCTAAGCCTAAAGAACCTCATTTTCACTCACGTTGCTTTGGTCAGAGTATTTGATCAAAGCAATGAGAAAGTAACCAAGTCAGGACTATGAGGAAAGTGTGACAGACAGGAGATGAAAATCTGAGGCCTAGGTGGGAAAGATGGGGGCAGGAAGGAAATCTGAATTCTCTCAGGTGTCAGCCTCAGGCTGGAGAGACGGCTCAGGAGTTAAAGAGTGCACAGTGATCTTGCAGGGGACCCTAGTGTGATTCCCAGCACCCACATGAGGCAGCTCACCACTGCCTGTAACTCTAGCTCCAGGCGGCCCAATGTTTCTGGACTCTGAGGGGACCTGCCCTCATATGCACATACCCAGCACACAGAGACAGGCACGCACATAATTAACATAATCAAAGTAGATATTAAAAACATCAGTGTGGTCAAAGAAAAGAAAGGCCCTTGAAACAGAGCACATTAAAGGTAGCAATGCCTGCTAGATGTGGAATTGTAAGCCTTTCAGCATCCTCAAGGATCTTAATAGGTCACTGATGACCTGTGATTCAGTCAGAGATGCTGGATCTGGAGACGCTTACACAGGGACACATCCACAGCTGTCATGAGAGAGCTTTGCAGCCTGGCACTCCCAGGGTCTACAATATAGACTCAGGACAGCACTGACTGGGAAAGGTCCAGATGGAGAACTTGTGTGATTTAGGGGAAGTGTGTGTGTTCGGGGGTAGGGGAAGGCACTTGACAGTTGCTGAGATAAGTTAACTCACAGGGTACCCAGGAGTCCTTGTTTCAAGGAAACATTTACACTTAAAGGTTTCAAGTTTGAAATCGGTTGAAATCGGACTCTCTCTCTCTCTCTCTCTCTCTCTCTCTCTCTTTTGGTTTTTTGAGACAGGGTTTCTCTGTATAGCCCTGGCTGTCCTGGAACTCACTCTGTGGACCAGGCTGGCCTCGAACTCAGAAATCCATCTGCCTCTTTCTTTCTTTCTTTCTTTCTTTCTTTCTTTCTTTCTTTCTTTTCTTTTCTTTTCTTTTCTTTTCTTTTCTTTTCTTTTCTTTTTTCTTTCTTTCTTCTTTCCTTCCTTCCTTCCTTCCTTTAAAAAGATTTATTTATTTATTTATTTATTTATTTATTTATTTATTTATTTATTTATTATGCATACAGCAGGCCAGAAGAGTGCATTGGATCCCATTACAGATGGTTGTGAGCCACACCATGTGGTTACTGGGAATTGAACTCAGGACCTCTGGAAGAGCAGCCAGTGCTCTTATCCTCCGAGCCATCTCTCCAGCTCTGAAATTAGTTTCAAACTGACAGGTTAAAAAATGTGCTGGGCTGGGGGTAGGTGGGGTGGGGATGGCTCAGTCTCAGGAATTTTATTTCAAATAAAATCCCATGTAGAATACTGTCCTTGAAACTGGTCTGGTGGGGCTGCTGGAGGTGAGGCTGGCCTGAGGTTCGGGTGTCTGTGTTCCACCTGGAGAGCCATCCAGTGCCTCTTAGAACTCTGCTTGGAATCTACAATATGGTTCTGAGGTAGGAGGATGGAGTAGGGAAGGAGGCTCAGAGGCATCAAGGAGCCAATGGCTGAGGAAGGATGAAAACTCCTCCCACTTGGGCTACGAGTAATACATGAGGATCATAAAGGAGAACCCCAGTGGTCTTCAAGTGCCGCAGAAGGTGGTGCTGGGTAAGTGACCTACAAAAGCCTGCAGCCTCAGGCCTTTCCTTTCTCTCCAGCCTAGTCCCATTCTTGGGTTCTCGCCTGTGCCCTCTGCTTAATAAACTGTCTCTATATTACTACCCACATGTCCTGGCTCAACGCTTTGTTCCTGTGTATAAGAACCTGGAAAGTCTCAGTGGGTGTTCTCTGGACTCCAATCCACGCCCATAATGGTACAACCTCCTCATTCCCGGGAACAGGGTAGGTAGACAGTAACCTCTGTACCCCACCATCAGAACACTCGGACTTGGGAACTCAGGAGGATGAGAATGGGGAAACTGAGGTTGGTGGTTAGGTAACCTCACAGCCCCTGGCTAACCCCATAGCTTTCAAGGGTCTGTCCAACTCAGGTATAGCACCCACATGGTACCCACATGGAAGCCCCATAGATTTATCATCTAAAATTGGGGCACAGAAGTAGGTGTGTGTTGGTGATCTCCTTCCTCCTAAATAAAAATGCTCTGGGTGGGGTAACCCAAGATGTAGTTAGAGCCACCAGGCTCCCACTCCAGGGTTCAGCCTCAGTAACAGGGAACTCACTGCCTCCTGATAAAATGCCCCTGGCTTCTGGTCCCAGCCCAGAGCTTGGCCTGAGACTCTGGCCTGGGCTGCCTAATATGGCAGGTCCTCTTGACTCTGTTCTTCCATTATTCTTACTGGAGAACTGACTAACCGTCACCCCTCCACCCCTGAAATATTGTCTTCTTCATTCTGACCTTCTTGAAGCTGGCCAGCCTTCCCCAGTCCCTGCTGTTGGGACAAGCTTTCAGTAGCTAAATTCATGGTTAAGAATGGTCACAGTGTTAAGCCGGGCAGTTGTGGTGCACATCTTTAATCCCAGCACTTGGGAGGCAAAGGCAGGCGGATTTCTGAGTTTGAGGCCAACCTGGTCTACAGAGTGAGTTCCAGGACAGCTAGGGCTACACAGAGAAACCCTGTTTAAAAAAAAAAAAAAGAATGCTCACAGGTCTCATTGGGGCTGTCAGGCATTCTGGGTGCCCTCCCTGGGTCCTAGGCCTCTGAGGCCGACTGTGCTGTCAGACATGCATGGGAATAAGGCTCTGAGTTCTGGAGGCTGCCCACAGTCGCTTCCTTCCTCCACTGGTCACGTTTAGGCAGGAATCAGTTGCACTTACAGCCTAGCCCTGTCTCCTGGCTTGCAGACTACACAAGATCCCTGGCCCCCCAACAGACAAGCTCTTCCTGACACGACACTTCTCCATGACAACATAACCACCATGAGGCTTTATCCCCGTGTGGCTTCTGCCCTTCAGGAACTCAATTCGTTTTCTCAGTTGCAGGATACATATTGGTCCTACACAGAAAAAGGGCCTCCAACCTAGAACTGGGCCTCTTCCAGGCCCAGGTGGGAAGTTGACTAGGATGAAGGAACCGTGTTCCATGCCCCAGTGCCATGCCAAACAACTCTCTTCTGTTGCCAGAGGACCAGCTGGGCTGCTCAGCCATAAGGAACATAGAGAGGAAGAGGACCCTCTCAGCCATCCCCAGGTATTGAACCTGCTGGTGTTGGGCACTGGGGTCAAATGACACAGCTTGTTCCTAATATCTGCAAGTCCCTAAGTATGGCTCTGGCTTACTAGAATCTTGGCTTCTCTCCCATAAAGAAGCTGAGCCCAGAGAGATAAGTGACTTGTTCCAGGTCTTACAAGTGGTACGGGGGAGACCAGACATCTGAACCCAGTCTGCAAGATTACAATGATGGGACTCTTTTTCATGTGCCATGGCTGCTGTGTACAACTACACATGTGGCTGCCTGCACCAGGGCATCTCACTGAAGGGTGGATGAACTCCAGCTAGCGTTTATTCTCTGTGGAGCATGGGCTCCCCTGCTTGTGCACCTAGAGGAGTGGCGTGGTGAAGTGGCTACAAATGGGTCCCATGATCCCACTACCTCCCTTCTTTCCTTCTTCCCTGTACTCCTCAAAATGTGACTTTAGAGCTTTTTCCATCCAAAGGGGACATGTGCTTCATCCCTTGAATCTGGGTTTATTGTGTGACAAGACAGGTCAATGCAGGGTGGCAGTCTGTCACGATGTCAGGCCTCAACAGGCTCTGCTCACTACCCTGAACTCCAGCTGGCCACGGGCATAAGCTGGGGGCAACATATTGGAGGATGTTATGGCCAGAGGTTCACCCAGATAGCCTACATCCAGGTGCCCACTAACAGATGGGCCGGGGCATCTTCCCTCAGCCACTTCTGCTGACTTTGGTGAGTACAGACTAGCTTCTCTGTGGTCCAGTGAGCTACTATCAACACTGTCGGAGCAGGACCTGTCCTCTCCAAGTTCACACATGCTAAAGCCAACACTGTTGACTAAAAGGTGACTCTTTCGGAAGTGGGGTTATCGCGGATGTGGTTGGCAGAGATGAAATCACACTGGAGTAGGGTAACGCTGATCTACTGTGACCTGTGTCCTCATAAGAGGGAAATGTGGACACAGAGAGAGAACACACAGGAGATTGCTGAGTTGGAGACCTGGGTTTTCAGACTTAGGAGTGAGGCTGGATCAGATCCTACCTAGTGCCTGAAAAGAGCACACCTGCCCCACTTTGATCATGGACTTCTACCTTCCACCACTGAGGCACTACGGCTCTGTGTGTGAGTCAGCATGTTTCAGCACTCCCTGCAAACTTACAGGGTACCTTTTCCTTTTTTTTTTGGTTTTTCGAGACAGGGTTTCTCTGTGTAGCCCAGGCTGTCCTGGAACTCACTCTGTAGACCAGGCTGGCCTCGAACTCAGAAATCCGCCTGCCTCTGCCTCCCAAGTGCTGGGATTAAAGGCGTGCACCACCACTGCCCGGCTCAGGGTACCTTTTCCTAATGCGCACGCGCACAGGCAGGGCTAAGTTCATCGCCTGTCTTGAAGACACTGAGAGGCACCGTTTTCTTCTTCGCCCAGGTCACCCTGTGGTGTGCCCAGAGAATACGTCCTACTCTCATCCTACCTTAGTTCTGTGGGGAGTCCAAGCCCTGCTTACCTGGGTTGCCGAGAGCCATGGAGTCATAGATGAGCTTGCAGGTCTTCAACAGGATGGAGATTTTCTTCCCTGGTGAATAGGCCTTGTGCATGCTGGTCAGCTTCTGCAGGATCTTCTCCATGACAGCCACCTCAGGCACACTGGTGGTCACACCCAGGTCGGTGGTGGTGGTGGCCAGGATCACCAGCTGGTTCTCCTTGAGCTGCTGCAGTGAGCCATCCCGGCTGTGGATCTCCAGCAGGCTGGAGTTGATGGCCTCCTTCAGGGGCTTCAAGACACACTTGTACAAGGCTGACTCCACAATGGCCTCTGTCGGGGTGAGAGCACAAAAGTAAGAGGAGCAGCTCCAGGAGCCCTCCCACCAGGCCCTTCTGCCTGGCAGGCCTAGCCCTTCCATCCCTGGTTTCTACTTAGCCCTGACTTGCAAGCCACTTTGCAAGATGCACTGGCACCAGAACCTCTGATACCTAATATCTTGGTCTCTCCAATGCAGTGTTCTTCCCAGGGCTGGGAACAGAGCCTGCCTATAAGCACACATTTCAGAAGGCACTGGACAGACTGCGGTTATGCAGTGTACAATCTAAGCATCTTAAGGGTAGAATTAATCTATAATGCCTGTTGTACTTCTCCAGTCCAGGAGATTTGCTTGCATCGTCACTGATACATGCTCTCCTTGCCCACGCCGCTCCTTCAGCCTGCCAGGCCTTGCCTTTGCCCCTGGACTTTTGCATCGCACACCCCCCTTGCTGCACAGTAATTCATTCACACAGCTTCTCCGCTTCCAACTATCACCAGAATCAAGCCGCAGTCCTACTCAAATCGTGGGATGGGGGTTAAGGAGCTTAGATAACCACCATAACTCTGTAACATGGATGCCATGATGCCCTTCTAACAGTGGACAGGTTGGGCTCTGATGGGGCGCGTGGAGGCTAAGCAAGGCTTTGATTCGTGCGTGGCTGCTGCTCTGGGTGACAGGCGGGAACATTCTCTGGAATAGCCTCTCCCCTTGACTGTTAACCCAACAGGAGGGAGCCTGAAGTCTGGTCTCTCCAGAGGGGAGGCTGGACAGCTCTTCTCTCTCATGGAGGTCTGGCTGGAAGCTCGTCTTGTGCCTCCTTCTGCCCCTTCACCAGGAGAAGCACAAATTGCCTATGTCTTACCAAACTGTGTGGAGAGTCTGTTCTGGCAGCTGGCTACCTGGGGACAGCTGTCATCCCACTGTTTCTGACAAGTCTAGTACAGACTTCCTTTGCTTTACCCAGGATCACTTATACTGGTGTGACAGTTCATATCTAGTGTCAACCTCACTGGATCTAGAAACCCTTTGGAGATGATCTGTGGGCGCGTCTGAAAGGTAATTTCAAGATTAGGTGAACACAGGTGGAAGACCCATCCTAAATGTGGGCAGGGCGATTCCATTCTGGGCTTGGGTCCTAGAACAAACAAGGAGGAAAGGAGCTGAACACCAGTATCCATCGCTGCTTCCTGACTGAATGCAGTGTGACAGCTGCCTCGCTCCCACTGCCGTTGCCTTCCCCCTCACAGCTGACTGTATCCTCAAACTTGAAACAAAAATAACCCATTTTTGTCAGGTATTTTGTTACAGCAGCAGACTGGTAACTAATACAACTGGCCCTGCCCTGAGTCATTACTGGATAGCTCTGGATCACCATCCTTCTTCATAACTCTCCTCATGCCCTCTGGGGTCCATTCCCTCCAGGCCACATCCTCAGCCTGAGGTTCACAGCCTGGCATGAGAGGCCACATCCATCTCCTGCCTCATCTCCCACCTCTCTGCCTGTCTCTGTGGTGTCACCACTGCCTGGTAGAAAACGACCCCTCCAACGTGTGCTTAGGCTATGGGTCTTCTCCTCTGTTCAGGCATGCATGGCTGACCATAGCTTCTTCTGGCCTGCGCCGAGATTGAGATGCCCATGTCTTCTATGCCCGTCCACAGGCTCCTGTTCTGCATACTGCCTGAGATCTCCCCTGGCCACAATCTACTTGTCTCATGGCTGTTTGTGCATTGCTGGGTTCCAGACATCTGTGCTCAGCCCTCATTTCCCCCCAGACTGTAGACTCGGTCTCAGTAGCTTCCATCCATCCCCTCCTGTATGTCCAAAGAGGTAGGAGGCCATCTTTCTGACACAGAACCCCTGGGCTTCTCCTGGTCTGGGTCTTCAGGCTTGTAGCTATGGCCTCTCAGGAATGCTTATACTGGTCCTTAGCTATTCCGAGCCATATGAGGCCAGCTATGTCTTTGCCCACTAACATAGACTAGATCTGTGCCCAGTTTTTCATTGCGCTGCCTCCTGCCCAACCTACTTGCCTCCAGTGCATCTTGTCATGACTGGAGCTCTGCTTGCCTCTAGTCTCTCTGCTCCTACTCAGCTCAAGGACCAGAACAGTGCTGGGCACATGTGAGGTCCTGGCATTCCTGCCTTGAACCTGCCACAGCCTGGTCCCTTGCAGAAATGCTAAATCTCAGGGGTTGTGACGCTGTGACCTACCTCTCCGCAGGCCTCCAAACCTCACTTCCTGCCTACTTTACACTTATGTCATCTTCCTCTATGGCTTCCTTGCAGATTACCTGTCATTTGTCAGAATAAGAGCTTCCTGAGGATAGGAGGGACACATGATTAGCTAGCTTGCTACCATGTTTTTTTCCGGTACAACAGGTGGAGGCATTTATAGTCTGTTGACTATTTATACTACTCATTTCCTCCCCAGAGAAGCTCTGTAGGGTGATGCTTGGGTCTCTGGGACTTGGTAACTGTTAGTGGAAAAAGTCAGGGGTTTGTGTGGGTGGCCTTTGCATGCACCGCCCTGAGCATCCAGCCCAGGTGAACCTTCCATCCCTGGTGGGGTACACACACAGCTATAGCCTCCTGAAGAGGCAACTGCCAGCCTTAAACCTCAGCACATCACTGCTGCCTTTCTATAGGACTCTAATATGGTGGCCTGGCAACTATATCAGTTGCCATCCATCCATCCATCCATCCGTCCAAGCTCGTTTCCAGGGAGGGTGACACTTGATACTCTTTTTTCCCTCAGGGATCTCTCACTATGAGCCATCATTCTGTTGTGTCTCAAAGTATCCTTTTTGAGTCCAGAACTGATGCTCTTAATTACTAGGGGGAGGAGGAGGAGGAGGAGGAGGAGGAGGAGAAGGAGGAGGAGGAGGAGGAGGAGGGGGGGGAGGAGGAGGAGGAGGAAAGGGGCTCAGGCCCACAAGGAGGTGGTACTCAGAGGGACAGTAATATTTATCAGGTAATTCCAAAATCTCTCAATACGTTTTTGTTTTGCTTTGCTTTTCGAGACAAAGTAGCCCATGCTGACCTCCAGCTCACTACGTAGCTGTGAACGGCCTTGATCCTCCTGCCTCCACTTTTCAAGTGCTGGGACTACAGGTAGATGCTATGATGCCCAGCTCTAGCACTGTGGTCTGCCTGAGTCTTTTCATTGTTTATACGGACGTGTAGGTGGCTGCAGAGAAAAATAACACCTGTCATCCTGGAGGTTTGCGGCTGGTGGGGGAGAGGAGGGCTGCTGGGCTGTTTGCCAGGAGTCAGGAAAGTTGGCTGCCTTGACTTGGCTCCCTAGAAGCGGTACCTGAGAGAGGGATTTGGGCCCAGGAGATCTGTGGGACAGTCAGGGAGGAAGAAGAAAGAGGATGTAGGACAAAGAGGCCCCAGAGGCTGTCCTGTGTCCAGGGGTGCCTGAGTGTATTTATGCACCGCTCTTCCTCCCACCCTCCCAGCTGCCACTGACCGAGTTCCTCCTCCGAGTGCAGGGTGGGTTCCACCAAGGCTTTGAGTTCGGTGCTCTGTAGCAGGTAGCTCTTGAGCTGGGTCATCATGGTGCGGATCTCCTGCAGCATCTCGGTGCTGGATGTCTGGCGGGCCATCATCTCCAGGCTGTACACCTTGTAGTCCTGCACTAGGCTGCCAAAGTAGGAGCCCTTGTCCTGTGCCAGCTCCACCACCTTCTTATACAGCTTGCGGTCGCTGGAGAGGAAGGCATGGAAGACGCTGGCGAAGCTGACAAAGCTGAGGCGGTGGCGGGCCTTGTCCAGGATCATCGAGGGCTTCTTCTTCACGTTGGGGCTGCTGAACTCCAGCTCCTCTTCCGCACTGCTGGTTGAGTAGGAGTCCTGGTCAGCCGCTGAGGCAGGCACCCCCAGGCTGTCTGAGAGTGAGGCCAGGGAACCCTTGAACTCTGGAGAACTATGGGGACAGACGCTGGTTTGGACTTGGAGGTGCTGCATCTCAGCTTGCCGGGCAGGACTCGAGCCTTCCCAAGGTGCACCAGGCGCCGGTTTCTCAGAGGATGCCTCCTTTATGGGGGTCTCCATGGGACTAAGAAAGGCTGACGCCAGCTGCCGGGAGACCCGCTTCTTCCTGGGGGGTGGGACTGGGGGTTGTTTGGCCATCCCAGGAGACAGTGGTATGCTGTCAGCATGGCTGGCTTTGGCCTCTGTGTCCTGGCCTTGCTCCGTGGTCCTTGGAGGCCTGTCCCCAATGTTACTTACGGTGCTCTGGGGAGGAAGGTTGAGTGAGGCTGTCCTAGAAACGCCTGAGTGGTCTCTGTCTGTCGAAGTCCCCACATTCTGGCTTTCCAGAGATACCCTCTCAGAAATGCGCCTCCTGGGAGGAGCTGCTGGAAGAGTCTTCTTCAGGGGCAGCGGAGGAGGAGGGGCTTGGTGCACGGGGCTGGGAGTTGTCCCAGGCTTCATCTCTTCCTCTCCAAATGGGCCCAGGCCTACAGCTGGACGTGGGAGACTCTCGCAGGCTGTCATGGGTGGTTGGTTTGAGTGGCCAGGGGGGCCCGGTGCATGGGGTGCAAGGTGAGAGGTGGGCGTTAGGGAGGAGTTGGGCAAAGGACCAGCAGGCAGTACAAGAGGCGCAGGAGGCCGGGCAGGGCCAGTAGGAGGAACAGTGGGTACCGGGGGTGGAGGTGGGGGACGACGTGGGGACCCCTTAGAGGTGGGTGAGGTAGCATCCGGGGTGGCAGGCACAGGGCGTGGAAGGTAGCCAGTAGGCAATGGAGGTGGATCAGCCGGTAAGACGCAGTCCTCGATGAAAATAGGATTCACGAACCACAGGCGGTCATTTCCCACCGAGAGCTCGATTTCACAGGAACAATTCGCGTAATGGGTTGTAGGCCTGAGGCTGGAGGATGCAGGGGTCCCAGGGGCTAGGCTTCTGAGTGGCTCTGCAGGGCCCCTTGAAGAGTTCAGAGAGGAGTCCCAGAAACCTGAGGAAAACAGAACAGAGACAGTTAGCCCTGCGTCTCCTTCTAGCAGTGGGGGAAGGGTCCTCGCTTTTGCGTAAGGTTGTTTTCCCTTCTTGGACTCTTAAACTTCTCCCACCACTTCCTGCCAGGAGGGGAAGTCCCCTGTGCACCCGCCAGCAGAGGGTTGAGGAGAGCTGGGAGGGGACATGAGAGGCCTGGCTTCAGTTCTGTGCCCATGCCTCGGAGAATACCTGTGGTAAAGAGCACACGTCGGGGTTTCTGCAGCTATTCAGCTGGGTACCCTGGGAAGACTGTATCTTAGGTCTTAGTTTAGCTGTCTCCCCAGCAGGTGTCTCAACAGTAACATCACAGGGTGCTGGGAGGGAACCCTATAATAAAAGGGGAGGGACTAGAATTTACTATGGCTATTGCAGCTGGCACACACAAGAAAAGGGAACCGGAGAGTTCTGGGTGGTACAGCTGGACCTGTATCTGCCCACTGCAGGCTGCTGTGACTTAAGGACTCGACACTGAGGAACTAGGCTAGTAGACAGGTGAGGACACAGCTCCTATCTTTGAGCAAGCCCTGCCCTGCTGGGTATCTATCAACCAGTCCTCATAGCCTTATCTGTGATGGAAGCCACCAGGCAAGGCCTGACCTGAGAGATTTTAGCTTCTGGGTACCATATTCCAGCAAACTCAGGGATGCTCGTGGCCTCCCAAAAGATACAGGGCTATATGACTCTGGAGAAAAGGCCACTCAGCTCATGAGTGGTTCCATATGGTGAGAAACACGGGACCCAGGTCCTGTTCGGTGTGACCATTTTAAGGGAAGGAAGGACACAAGCCAGGCTGGGGCGGATTCCCGGGAGAATGGTGGACTCTTTCTCCCATAGTTCCTCAGTAATACCCCTATGCAAAGGAGTACCAAGTGTGACACCAGGAGCGAACAGTCAGGGTTTGTGCAGGAGACCAGCCACTGGCTACAGTTGTCCTGGGACCATCTTGATGACCTCTGGCCATAGGCCTTTTCCCCACTTTACAGATGAAAGCAAGTGACTCAGGGAAAAATGTATTCATCTGAGGTCACAGGGTGCTGGGGGTTGAACAGGTCACTGCACAGGCTCCTTTGAAGGCACTTGCCCCACTTCCTGCTTCGGTTGCTTTGCCTGCCAGCATGTGGTTGGTGGCTCTTACTCCATGTTGTAAGAACACAAGCCCCTTGGTTTTTTCTTTGTGGTACTGGGGATTGAACCCAGGGCCTCCCGTATGCTAGGCAAATGCTCTACCATGGAGATATCTCCCCCTTTAAAAGAACATTTTCAAAATTTGAGGCAGGGTCTCACTAAGTTGCCCAGGCTGTCCTTGAACATTTAATCTTCCTGCCTCAGCTTCCAGAGCCGCTGGGGTTACAGACCTGTAGCATCAGGCATGACCACCGCAGACAGGCTTCTTGATGGCTAACTGAAAGATGTTGCAGGATGGCAGGGGCATGCAGAGTCAAGTGTGAGCCAGTTTTAATGATGGCTGGCTCAGTGACACAGGCCTTGGCCACCTTGGTGGCCTGAGGTTGTATGTCTATCAATGTGAACAGGATACAAAACCAGGCTAGAAAGCAAGCTGTGCCATATTCAACTGTGAGTGCCTCTTACAGAAGGGAGCATGGTACTCACTGTGGGGCCCTTCTCTAGACAGATGCTGCTGCACCTGGCAGCCAGTCCAGGAGACCCAGCTGTCACCACAACACCAAGATGGTGGCCTTTCATGGGTCTTTTTTTAACAATATGCAAACATCACAGCCACAGGGTAGGACAGATCATGTTAGGGTTTCCCATGGTCTGAGGACCACTCTTCATGAAGGCTGGGCTGTGGCTTTGCCCTCCAAGAAAACATTGGACCCCTGAGTGACCAACTCTTGGTGTCCAGACACACAGATGGTTTCACTGTGTGGAATAAGCACTAGGAACACTGTAGCCATGTCTATGCAAGCCCAGTACAGCGATCCAGTCCCCTTGACATCTTCCCAGTGAGGAGCGTGAGACAGCTGGGATTACAGTCCTGATGACCAGTATTCCCAGTAAGCTGAGATCAGCTCTTTCTGTCCTCACATCACGGTTCCTTAAGATATGTGGTTGACGGACAAAGTCATGGGGTAGCAGATGTCCAGAACTTCCCATCAATGCCTGCATGACCTCACTCAAGGCCTATGAGACCTGCTCCCACATATCTCTTCTAGAATTATCTACTGAGCCTTCATCTGCCATTCACTTCTTCCTGGGCGTGACATGTGCTGCCTGCCCTATCCTTCGGTCTTGGCTGATGCTGTTCTCTCTGCTTAGAATTCTTTTCCTCCCCACCTGCTAGGTTCTTACTCATCTTCAAGGATTAGAAAGTCATGTCTGGAGTACATTTCCTGATGTGTGCGGGATGCCTGTGTCTCTTAGTCCTACTGTGTATTCCAACTGCAGGGACCACCATCCGGGGGCTGCCATTCTGTGCTCCTGTTTGAGTGTTCCACCATACTCTGGGCTTCAGAAGGCTACACTGATGCTCCTCCCATTTGAGCATCTCTGAGATGATGCTCCAATGAGCAGAGGGGCCAGGCATGAGCACCCAACACTACTGAGAAAACCAGCTTAGTCAGAGTGGTCCCCATATAGGGGAGAAGCACACACTGGCAAGGCTAGCAGGCTAGGTGGAAGCTTCTGGGGGATGGGAGGATGAGGAGATGACACACCGAGAGAAGGAGGGGGAAAGGAGGGCGTGGAAGAGTTTCAGATGGGGAAGGACTGACAGGCAGCTCATCATAGGTCTAGACCTGGTCCCTAGCCAGCACAGAATAGAACACAGCTCCACATTTTGATAGCATCTCACAAGTATGGAATAGGCAATGGGTCTCAGGGAACAGGTCCAGAGCTCAGGATATTGCTTGCCTGCCCCCAGGACAGGAATGATGGATTCACAGGGCACAGGCTTCCAAGGCTATGCTACTTCCAGGGGAGGGTGTTGCTGGGCACTGGAGAGGCCACATCTCAGGGCCAAGGCTATGGAAGGGAAGCACTGAGGCAATTCAGAGCTTTACGCTCAAAACAAAACAAGAATTAAGGAAGTTGGAAAGTTTCTCTGCAGCTTGCAGAGAGTCAAGGCCAGAGAAGCAGAACATTGTGTCATGCAGTCCCAGCAGTTGGCAGAGCTGTGGGCACTACGGCCTGGAGGCCCCATGCCAAGACTTAGCTCAGCCACTCAAGTTCCAGTAAGGAAGGGCCTGTCCCTTTGACTGAGGGAGCTATTTTTCTGGTGCCAACACTTTCTGAACCTGGACAGCAGGGGACCTCTTGCCAGTTTCTATGCCTGCAGTGTTTGGAGAACCTGGAACGTGCCAGGCTCTGGACTGTGGTACCTCAGGGCAAATTAAGGATTCATGAGCCATGGAAATGGTTGGGAAACCCAGGGAACTTGGGGGAATACAGACTTTTGTAGCATCCAAGGGTGGGTTGTTGGACTTTCATTCAAAGTCAAGTGTTTTGTTTGGTGTGTATGTGGGCACACGTAGGTGCATGTGGGTCTGGAGGACAACCTTGATTTTTGTTCCCTGGGCACTAGCCACCTTGCTTTTTGAGACTGTTTCTCATTGGTCTGGAACTCACCAAATAGCTAGTTTGGCTGACCAGGAGCCGACCTGTTTTTATCTCCTCAGTGGTGGGGTTACAACTGCAGGCCTGACCATGCCTGACTTTTTAATGTGGGTTTTAGGGCTCAAATCAGATCTTTATGCTTGCATGCAAGTACTTTATCAACTGAACTATCTCCCCAGTCCCCAAGTCTCAAGAGGCAACAAATCTCAAGAATGAACTAACTAGGAAACTTTCTCATTTCTGTGCGATAAAGGAAAAAAAAAACAAAGTACATGCAAATCTGGGAGAAGTACACGGTGCACGGCTTCCTTAGTTTTAAAACATTAAGTATCTATGTGCCTCAGGCATGTTTCAGAGGCACTACACAGAAACATCTTCCGTCTTTGCACTGAGAATCAGTTGCGCACATCTCAGTGCTGGATTCACCTCTTACGACAACATCCTTTACACCCTGTACTGCTGAATGCTGGCAATTCCAAGTCTAAGCTTGGCTATTCTTGTGTCGACTGATGAACGAACACGCAAGAGCCATCCCATGGCGCTCAGCCTGAAAGAGAATAGCTTTGCTTTGGTGACATCATCCCTGTCCAAACAGCAGGGCTTAGTCTACTCATTAAAGCCAAACCCAAACCAAGTACAATAAAATACAGTCACTGACACAGAAGAAGGAAATACGCCTCAAAAAACTAAGAGTAATGATGAGACCATTGGGCACACTGAAAACCTAGTGCAAGTATCTACTGTTGACTAGATACTTCTTGACTCTGGGTATGAGAAAAACAACCGAAAGTCACACATATGTTCACACAAAACAACGGCGAAAGGCAAAATGCAGAACTGTATTTTTGCAGCAGTGGAGGGATTATGCATGATTTTCCAGCCTTGGCTTTTTCTGGTCTTGTCGGTTAAAAAGAAACCCACACCGTGCTGGGATTTCATAAAAAGAGAAAGATGCCATAAAAAGAAGTGTTCGGAGGGTACAATGCAAAGGGAGGGCTTGCTGTTTTCCCTTTGGCAATAGGGCGCCATGTTATTTCCCATTGGAGCCGGAGCAAGGGGAGGAAGGAGCTGAAGAGCGGGAAGCAGTGAACAAGGCTGAAAGGTTCAGACGGCAGTGGGTGCTAACAAAGAACACAGAGGTCCCACTTAGAAAGCCAAAGTGTGAATCCAGCTCCAATCACATCCACTTACAGGAAGCCGTATAGTCTACCTTCCTCTACCGTCTCAACCAGAACATCATTCACGTAATTCACCTATTTAAAAAGTTCCCTGATGGCTTTAATATACCCATAGCTGTACAACTGTCATTGTGATAGATTATAAGGCATTTTATGGCTACCTCCCTACCCCTCCGAGGTAGTCTGTGTCCGTTATCAGTCCCCCCACCCCCACCCCCATCCAATGTTAATGGTTTGAATATGAACTATCCCTTGGTCCCAGCTGGTGATCCTGATCTGGTTACTGTGTTTCTTTTAGGAGCTGGAACCTTGGTGGAGGAAGTGGGTCATGGCAGGTGAGCCTGGAGTTTTATAGCTTGGTCCTGTTTCTAGCCCTCTCTTACTTCCTGGTGTAAGACGTCCTATTCAAACATTCCCATTGCCATAAACCCTTGCCATGATAGATTGTGTCCCTTTAAACCAGGAGCCCAAACAGCCTTCTCCTTTAAGTTGCTTCTGTTCCCTATTTTATCACAGGAATATGAAACGTGATTGGCACACCACCAACTGCTTTCTGTGTCTATGGATTTGCTTCCTCTGAGCACATCTACAATGGAGTCTCATAGGCGCTGCTGCGAGGCTGGCTTTTTTCACTAAGCATTGTTTCCGTTCATGTGGTACCATGGACCATTGCTTCATTTCTATTTATAGTTGAGAAAGCTCTTTAGGTTCCTTGACTCCCATGGGTTCATTTATCAAATGGGTTTCTCTTCCTTCTCTTTTTCTTCCCCTTCCTCCTCCTTCTTTCAGTATTAAAAATGGAATAATGAACTTGTCTCCTATGTTGCTTTTGGGTCTCCTGGAAACACTGGCTGGACCAAGGGAACACTTGGCCTCAAGACCTCCTCCAACTCAAAGCTGGCTAGGGATTATTACAATTCTCCTTTGCCAAAACAATGGCAGGGTGGGGGTGGGAGTGGGGCCAGAGGCGGAGCCTGGTGGCTCAGAGGACTCAGAAGGGGCTCTGAGCGGCTTGCAGAACACAGAAGGCTGCGGTACAGAGAAGAGGCTGTTGCTCACAAAGCCCGGTGGCCCTCCCCTCCACTTCTCAGAATTCTCCATGCAAGTGTGAGGAGGTTTCAGCGTTCTGCTATAACAGGTGTGTCTAGTCCTTGAAACAACAGGCCACATGAGTCTGAGGACAACTGTGAAAGCAGCCCAACACAGAATCAAGTTACTTAAAACCTCGTGAGATTTTTTTTTTTCCTTTTTGTAATTTGATCGCATGGTCCTTATGGGTGAACTGCCTCTCAGAGAGCCTCTGGTTGCAATGTCAGAAGGTTGGACACGCCTGGTAGAAGAGTCACTCAATGTTCTTAGCACAGTGTTTAGGTGCCTGGGCGCTTGACAGGTACCCTCTTCGGTTATCATCAGAGCACAGAAAGGCTGGCAAGGCTGCGGCTTGCATGTGGCAGGGCCAGGTGTCTGGCAGTTTCAGGTTTTCATCTGTTCAGGAGATGAACTGGAAAGCCAACCTTTCCTTGGTTCTGGGGAAAAGTCAGTCTGTTGGGCCTGGCTCTGTGTCTTCAGCACTGGGGATACCTCATCAGATCAGAACCTTCCAGGTGGTTCTTCAGGAGAAGCCTATTTGGTTTTTAAACGTCCCATTATCAAAGACGTCATTGCTGACAGGCCAGTCTGCGCCATCCCTGGCTTCCTTTGAGGTGACTTTCATCTCCAGTTCACTCTATGCCTGAGGTGACACTCTCTTAAGAGCGGTGGGGGGGGGTCTGGGGGGGGTGAAGGGGAGGGGGGAATTATGTTCCAGCCAGGAATTCAGTTCTCCTAAGCAAATTGGCTTGTTTCCATTCAGCAAGTGCTTCCAGGTTGTTCCAGCAGGAGGAATCTACAAGGAGCTTTGGATATCAGCCTCTGGGACGCCTGCCTGAGTCCCAGAACAGGGCCAATGGGTATATTCGAAGTTCAATGCTTGCTCCCATTACTTGGTAAACCAGTATAGCAGGGTCTGTTAAATTAAGGGGCAATGTGAAGTAGATACGAATTCTTCTCTTAAACCGCTGTCCCCAGACCCCTCTGGGAGGAGGACAGAAGTCTGGCCTGGGAGATGGTATGCATGTGTGTCTTCTCTGGTCTGAGGTCTGTCCCTGACTTCCTCTGTGATCTGGCTCTTCAGACTTGGCTAATTTTCCTCTGTTCAGGCAACATTGGTGTCTATTTTGCCCAGTGTTTCTGGTGCTGTGACCCGTTGCAGACAGTGTCCAGTGAACCACTGTACCTTAATAAAGATGCTTTGTCTACAGACATGTCCTGGCTCTGGGTGCTGAAGTCCCGGGTCTCTTCCTTACCCCTGGTCACAGAGACTGTGGAAGCATCTGCCATAAACAACTCTGTATGTCATGAAGAAGTAGGAAAATTCTTGTCCCCAACACATGTTGGCTTAAGAGTCTCAGCAGCTATCAGCCTTGAGATTTTTGCCTTCCTCAGAGCCAGCATTGATGAGGGCCAGTCCTAAGTTAGCATTGGCCAAACCTATACCTACAGAGACTTCAGTGTGACTAGACACCTAGGAAGAGCCCAGGAAGTTGGCTTTCTAATACAGTTATGCTAAAGAATGGAAGTTGGGGAATGCTCCCAACCGTACCTTAGAATTGGTTGGTTGGGCAGGGAGATAGCCAAGGGCATGAGGGCACACTCCAGTTTCCCATCTCATCCGTCCTGGATAGTTTTTATGTCAAAATGGAACAAGCTAGAGTTATCGGTGAGGAGGGAGCCTCAATTGAGAAAATGCCTCCATAAGATTGAGCTGTAGGCAAGCCTGTAGGGCATTTTCTTAATTAGTGATCCATGTGGGTGGGTCCAGCCCATTGTGGGTGGAGCCCACCTTTTGGCTGGTTGTCTGGGTTCTATAAGAAAGCAGGCTGAGCAAGCGATATGGAGCAAGCCAGTAAGCAGCACCCCTCCATGGCCTCTGCAACAACTCCTGTCTCCAGGTTCCTGCCCTGTGTGAGTTCCTGTCCTGACTTCCTTTGATGTAGTGATGATGACGGGTAAGCTACATAAACCCGTTCCTCCCAGGTTGCTTTTGGTCGTGGTGTTCCGTCACAGCAATAGTAACCCTGATTTAGATAGCATCCATGATGTTTTTCTTTTTGATGAGGGCTGTGACAGGGCCAGGGCCAGGGCTGGGACAAAAGGAGCAGGGATGACATTGGCCAGCCCTCAGAACTGCCTTAGTGTTGACCTTATTTTTCCCAGGGCTGCCTCTAATGTGATCAGCCTGGTTATGGTCCCTGGCCCCTCTGTCTAGAGCCCTGAGGGCTCTTCCTGCTGAGTGGATCAGCACGTCTGGGCCAAGGGGTGTAGGCTCCCAAACTAAGGTTCAGGATCCAGCTTGGTGTTACCCAAAGGCATCTTTGCAAAGACTATTGGTATGATGGTTGGTTTTAATGTCAACTTGCCACAAGTCAGAATCACCTGAGTAGCGAGCCTCACCTGAGGAATGTCCTGATTGTCTTAATTGGTGTGGAAAGATCCACCCCCAAATGTGGGTGCTGCCTTCTGCTAGTAGCCCAGATGAAACAGGGCATGGTGGGAGGAAGATGACTCGGCTTCTGCTTGTCTGGCTTTCCCTTGGGCTCTGTTGTGGTTACAGATTCCTGTGCAGCTATGATAATCCAGGGTTTCCAGGATTCCATTGTTGAGAGGACCAGTGACTCTCTGCAGGACACCTGGAGGTCTTTGGTGCCATACTGGGATTGATGACACAGCTAGTCATGTGGGTTGAGGAACTAACTATTGGAGTCTTGGCCTCTCCAGTGTGAGATAGCCACTGTAGGACCACGCAGACTGCCAAGGCACTGGGCCTCCAAAACCAAGCAACGCGCGGGTTGTTAGCCTCTCATGTGTGAGACTGTTGTTACTATTTCAGTGTAAGCCATGGAATATTCATTCTGTTGTTCCTGTGCTGGTTTGAACAGGAATGGCCCCATCTGCTCATACATTTGACTGCTTGGTCATTAGGAAGTGGCACTACTTGACAAGGACTAGGAGGTATGGCCTTGTTGGAGAATTGTGTCACTAGGGTAGGCTTTGAGGTTTCAGAAGCTCAAGCCAGGCCCAGTGTCTCTTTCTACCTGCTGCCTATAGATCTGGATGTAGAACGCTCAGCTCCGTTCCAGTGACATATCTTGCCTGCATGACGCCATGCTTCCCTCCATGGGGAGAATGGACTAATAACTTCTGAAACTAGGGGCCAGACCCAATTGTATGTTAAATGCTTTCCTCTGTAAGAGTCACCATTGTCATGATGTCTCTTCACAGCATTAGGACACTAAGATGGTTCTGTTCTTCTAGAGAACACTGATTAAGGCAATGGGGGGAAATCCCAGTACCCCTTTGTCTCAGTACCCACCTACTCTCTGGTTCTACCAGGAAGACTTACCCAGGCCCAGGTTGGAGATGGTCTCAAGTTCGAGGAAGCTGCTAGCTTCGAGGATGGCCTGGGGCAGCCTCAGAGTGAAGGGCAGTAAGTCTCTGTGAAGACAAGAAGGTCACAGGTCAGACAGAGAGGGGCCAGAGTCCCCTTTCCCAAGCATCGAGATGTCCAGACCTGTGGCTCACATCCTGTGACTGCTAGGGTTTCCATGTAACCTGGACATTTCTCTGGGGCCAAAGTATGGGGCTGCAGTTGAGGGAGCTGCCAGATTCAGATATTGTGCCAGCTTCACGACCTGGAATGAGCCCTGGGCACAGAGAAGACCCCCTTGCTTCTCCTCCCTTGCTAAGCTCATACTTCCTTTAAGCATATTTAGTGACCTCTGACCCTTGCCCTCTACATGGAGGCAGCAAGCATGGTGGGGTGCTCTGGTGAGCATTTAGCTGGCTATCACTATCTGCCAGCTGCAGAGAAACTATTAGGGGGCACGTTCCAGAGATCTCTAGCAGCTATTCAGACAGAGGGATACAGACCAAGAAGGGGAAAGAGTTTTTCTCAGGCACTGTTGTGGGCTATGGGTGGATGGTGCTGGCTCCTGGTCCTCCAGATTCTGGCCCAAGGGCTGCCTCTTTAGCCAAGAGAGCTGGTCGTGATTTTATGTTTTATGCTGGCATTCAGGGCCTCTCTTCCACCTTCCAGCCATTCCTCTCTCCCCCTTCCTAGTATCTTTCCTGTAAACCTGTCTCCCCTCCATAAAGGCAGAAATTGACCAGAGGCCCAAGAGGGCACAGAACAGCAAAGCCCAGGAACAGGTGGTTACCAAGATTAACAACCTGCTCCATTAATGGCTCCCCAAAGCCCCGCCCACTTTCTTCCTTAGCCAATCATAAGCAAAGAAATCTCATCCATCCACCTGTTAGCTACTAGGAGCCTCCTCTGTTGGCCTGGAGAGCTATCTCCCTCCACCCAGGGCCATCACACCCTCCCTTTCTATCTCTCCTTTCCCTGTAACTCTAGGTTGAGGGTGTCTGGATTCCGGGAGGGGTAATGTCTCAAGTCTTTGAAATCCTGTGGTGTGCAGTAAATACTATGGTGATCTATTAATGCCCACTCCCCCCCCATTCCAGATTATCTTTCATGGGGGAAGAAAGCACTATTGATGGGTGGTCGTGGCATATTTAGGGGTCTTTAGTAAGTTCTAGGGGTGGCCTTTGGCTTTCTCTGATAGATAGGGTGGCACTGCATTGTCTTCAGTCATTATCACATGACCGTCCTATGAACCTGGGGCCTTCTGATGTCACCTGCCCATCATCCCTCCACAGTCTGGCTCTAACCCATTCAAGATAACTCCTCTGGATCGTTCTCCTATCTTAGGACCTTCCATCTCACTACCTTTACCCACATCTCCAGTTTCAAAGGTTGGCAACATTCATCTTCCATTACCTCAGTTTACCTGGGTGACTCTAGTTGGAGTGGCTTTGGATGGTTTCTGTTTCTAGAGAAGTGCCTATCACAGAGACCAGCTGAGGCTGCTCAGTTCTCTCACCCTGCCAGTAATCTAACGCTGTCACTTCACTGACTTCCTTATGATGCTGAGGTGGACCTAGCCACAAACCCCAACACACGGGAGGTAGCCTGGCCCTGCTCCACCTCGATAGCAAGCGTTTCAAGACCCTGCCTCAATACACTCACTGCTCTTCACAGAATGCTCCCTGGTTCTAGACATCTGTCCCCTCTGCTTGTACCTGCTTAGATTACACATTCCCTTCAAAGTGACATCACTGGCCTCTCTTCCCTCTAGATCCCACTTGTCATTTATTACGTCATCCAGTCCCGGTCCCCTTCCTCCCGGGTTGGGGGAGGACAGACACTCTTTCCATCCAGGACGGCACACAGGACTGGGGAGCTGGCTGAGCAATGTCATATAACACCGTTATTATAGCATATCAACTACCACAGAGGTGGGCAAGCATTCCAGCTTTACAGCCAGTAGCACGTGGGTTCAGAGAGGTAGAGAGAACTACTCAAGACCACTCAGCTAAGAAAATACCTTTACCCAGGATTACGCATCCCTCGCTATTTAATTTGCCTCTGGTTTCCTAGCTGGTCCTCATAACTCGCCTGAGATAAGGCCAGTTGTCTTCAGTTTTTTTAAAAAACATGTTAGACTTTGGTTGGCTGGCAAGATAGCTCAGCAGATAAGGTGCTTGCAGCCAAGAGTGATGAATTAGATCCCTGGGACCCACCTGGTGGAAGGAGAGAGTTGAATCCCACAAACTATCCCTTGACCTCCATACTTGTACCATGGTATGTGTACCCAGATAAACAGACAGACAAATAAGTGTAATAAAGATGTTAGACTTTGAGGTAAGGGGTGGAGACTGAGGTAAGGGTGAAAATGAAACTTAAGACAGGGTCTTGCATGTGGTAGGCACATGATCTACCATTGAGCTACATTTCAGTCCTAGAGTCTGTTGTTGTTGTTGTTTTCATGCAAGAGTTTTATGGTGGCGGGGGGCAGCAAAAGGCTGCCTCGGAGTGAGGACGAGAGAGCCAGCGAGCCTGTAATGGTGGGGACCTTTAAAGGGTATGCGTGTCACATTTGGCAGCTGGTGATGACATACTGCTGATGCTGAGTGGATGAGGGTGAGCTGGGGGAGCATTTGGCTCCTAACATCCCTCCCTTTGTTTTGGGGGGTGGTGGCGGTGGCTGGGATTGGGATGTAAAGTGAATCAATCAATCAATTGATTAATGGAAAAAAGAAACGAAAACATATTTGCTGTAACAGAGTTAAACATTGCCCAAGGTTTTAAAGTAAAATGTGCCTGTCCTTGCACTGCAAGAACAACAACTTCTTCTCTTTTCTGTGCTGCTGAGAGCTGCCTGGGGAGACTCGTGGGTTCTCTTCTCTGGATGGGCATCTACCCTGGCTGCTTCTTTCTTTCATTCTGGCACATAGCTTATGCCTCCCTGGGTTCTGGCCTAGCACTTTCCACAGGCTCTCCTCAAATGCTCTCAAGGAAGTAGGTCCTTTTCTTAGATCCATTTCAGAATTAAGCAACATGAGGCTCAGAGACCAACTTGTAAATGCCAGTGTATAAACCTAAATTCAGATTGGGTCTAAGATCAGATTCTTTTAGTTAAAAAACAAAACAAAACAAAACAAAACAAAACAAAACAAAAAACAAAGACAAAAACTATTTGCGTACTGCCATTGGTTCCATCAACACAGTAGAGACTTTTAGTTCCTAGTGAGTCTATCCTTGGGTAGTTTTTCTTTTGGGTAGATTCCTAGTGAGCATGCCAGACCACAGGATAGAATACTTTGAGATATGACAGTGTTCGCTACACTGTCCCCTTACCCCATGCTTCTTATACCCATTCACACAGCAACAGAGATGGGCCCCAGCTTATGCCATTTTTTGTCCTCCCAATCTTAGTACAACAGCTGAGTGGCCCATTCTAGTGAACTTAGTGGTGGCCTCTGTCAGTGACAATGACATGCAAATTGTCCAGTTTGTGGTTTAGTAACTAAAGAAGTCTTAGCACACTGTGAAGGTGGGGAAGGCAGGCAGTCAAAAAACAGGCTTAGTCACACCCATGTGTGAAGACCCTGGGCCTTGGGGGTAACATCAGGAAAGTCCTCGGGTAGAGTGCTAGGGAAGTGGGCATCTGTCTGTGCACCTCCAACAACCAAAACCCAAAAAGGCACTGGACACTTCTGAGGGACTCTACTGTGTTTTCAGTGTCTGTATTCTGTGAGCTTCCTTGATCAGAACTTCCAGGAAGAGGCTAAAAAGGCAGGATCCAAGCCCAAGGGTTAACAGCACTGGGCCTAGGAGAACCTATGTTAGCTAGCATGTGTGCATGTGTGTGAGCCTGTGTTGGTTAAGGAATTCACTCACGGCCTTAAGAAATTAGGCAAGTGCCCTACTAATGAACAATACCCTCCACAGCTACAGAATATGGGTTTTTAAACATCTCAAGTAGATCTTAATGAACACAGGCTGGGGGGGGGGTCATGTGAGTGGGATTCATAGCTCCCCCTAAAAAACAAAGGCTATCAAAGAGTGAATTAATTAAACCCACGGACGCTCTGTATATATACATGCATAACTAGTTCTTTATGAACTGTAAATCCAAGACAGATTTTGAAGGTGGGATCTTCAGAGTGGATGTTTTAACAACCATCCCTCACTTTGAAGGGCCAGCTGACACACCTCTGAGTATCTATACTGCTCTCTGGAGGCCCCTGTTCTAGTTAGAGCTCTTTACTTTTGTCCAGGGTTATTTAAGAAATACAAAGCACACACACACACACACACACACACACACGCTCAGCAACAGAAGACTTACTCCGCCTGCATGGGACATATTCTGGAAGGATTTGGTACAGCTTACTTCCTTACATACAAAGTCACTAATTGATTTTCTACTCCCGGATGAGGGGTTTTCTAATGCCACCACCTGGTTCCTTAATTCTCTGGACACCAAGCATCCAATTGTTCAGTTTGGTTGCAATGCTAGTTACCTGGAATTGAAGTCACACTCTGTAGACTTCGGGGCTCAGTGACTCCCAAGGGATCCCCTACTTCCAATGCCAGTCACAAGAGCTGGGCCAGCAGCTCTTGGAGCCACTGATGTAGAGCAGAGCTTCACAAGCAATGTGGTGATAACTATCTTCAGAGGTGGGAGTGACAAGCGAGCCACTCCCTGAGGAGGGGGGTAGCTTAGCCACGGTGTGGGGCCTATCGGAGGGAGGACAAGCCCACACAGCTTCTTCCTTCCTCATTCCGGTAACGGCATTTAGTTGAGGTCACTGACTCCACATCAGGGTTGAGTTGAGGACCAGACCCCACGATGCTGGTACGGGTCTTAGTGGAGCCTGGCATCATGGAATATGTTCAAGAAACAATGGGACTATGTATCCTTCCACCCAGGAGGGCAGCCCCAGGGTCTCCCATCTCTGCAGCCTTACCTCCTTCCTTCAGTGGCTGCCCTTCATTGGCTCACCCTTTTGGGTGACATCTCTTCATGACTCTGGATAATTTCAGCAGCCCTTGGCTGTTCTATGCTCTTCTCTTCCTTCAAGCCCACTTTCTGCTGCTACTATATTACTCTGTCTGGGTCTGTCTAACTATGGGAAACAGCATGGCTCATAGCAGCTGTGAAAGAAGTCCCTGCATCTCCAGGCATAGCTTTGCTCTGGCTTCTCCACGGAGCCACTCCTGAAGCTACCTGGGGCTTTCTAATGGCTGGGCCTTTGCCTACCCTGCTTCCTCTGCCTAGGACTTTCTCTCCACCCTCCTTGGCAGGCCTCCCACATCTTCATAAGGAAGTCCTCCAAACTCCATATGCAGAGGGGTCAGACTGAAAGGAAGCAACATGGGTCATTTCCACTACAGGCCTGCTACAATGCCAGGGTTCAAATCTGGCTTCAGAACTTGGCTGTGCTGCTTGAGGTCAGTTACACCCCGGCCTCAGTTTTCTTATCGCTAACATCACTAAGAACACATGCAACGGTTATGAGGACTACTCCGTGCTGGCTACTCTGCTAAGGCCCAATCAGAAATCTTCAGGACAGCCCTGGGTACAGGCACTACCAGCTTTGTGATGTGTGGTCATAATAGGGGTTAGAAAGAAGCAAGAAGGCAGCAGGGAGAATACAGATACCCAGACAGCATCCACTTTCCCAGCTCTGGGCACTGCTAAAACCGGAGAGCTTTTACAAGAACTGGGGCCTCCAAAGAGGTGGCTGTTTCTGAAGGCTGGCACCTGTGATCTCAGCATACCCTTACAAAGTGTCTGAGAGGGAGCTTTAGATTCATCAGGCATTAGTGCTGAGAAGGATGAGACCCTGCTCTGGTGAGGTCTGAATTCTGAGAATGTCTCCATGAGCAGCCAACAGCTCACAGGGCCCTTGCCCAATGGAAAGCATTCTTTGTGGTGGGGAAGGCCAGTGGGCGTGGGTTTAGTGTGGTGACAGCTCTAATAAAAGTCCAGGATGGACAAGCACCCAACAGCATGTTTCCTGGAGCATCTCAGAATTTAAACGCTGCAGATTCTCATTACTTAAGCGTTCTTGGTTAACGTTCCTGACAGAGAGGCGAAGGTGCCAAAAGAGGTCAGGTGATTGTCTGGGAGTCACATAGCTGCAAGGTGATAGGCCGCTAACTCCAGGCCTGGGGCTCTGGTTCCTCAGCATTCAGGCCTTGTTGCCTGATACACCTTCCCCAGAACATGGTCAGGCCTGTCTCTGTCTCATAATCTCCTTCAGAGAGCCCTGGAGTTTGAAGACAGGAAAACAGCACCAGCTTTGCTAGGGTGAGGAGAAATAGCAGGCCAGGGAGGAAAGGCTGGGAAGTGATGGGGGTAAGCTTAGTGACTGTGGTTCCTTATCTCTCTGGACACCAAACTGATACCGAGAAAACTCTCCTATAGTTCAAGTGGCAGAGATGGAATGAGAGAGCCCATGGGTCCCAGGCAGTACTCTCTTCCTTCGTGGGCATTAACTCACCCTTTCTCCAGCATCAAAGAATTTGATACCAGGACTCCCTTTTATAAAAGAGGAGGTTGAGGCTCTGAGGTGTTAAATATTTAGTTTAATATCTAGACTCCCCATGCATCCATCCATCCATGCATCCATCCATCCATGCATGCATGCATGCATGCATGCATGCATCCATCCATCCATCCATCTATCCATCCATGCATCTATCCTTCTATCCATCCATCCATCCATCCATCCATCCATCCATCCATCCATCCATCCATCATCTATCCATGCATCCATGTACCCTTCCTTCCTTCCTTCCTTCCTTCCTTCCTTCCTTCCTTCCTTCCTAATATTCATCTATCTATCCGTGCATCCATCCTTCCATCAATCCATCAATCCATCAATCCATCCATCCATCCATCCACCCACCTATCCATCCATCCATCCATCCATCCATCCATCCATCCATCCATCCTGCATGCATCCTTTTCTTGATTCATTCATTCTAGTCCACATTTTCCAAATACCAGACAGAGCTCCTCCAACTAAGATAAACTTGAAAGGGCCAATCTCCTTATAGTCTGGTGTGCTGTGAAGCACAAAGGTCTCTGGGGCCTCTGCAATTTTTCCTATGAATCTAGCTGGCCAAGCTAATGCACAGAATTACTGCAGGGTGCACTGGTGGTGCAGCTTTTTCTAGATTGAACTTCACTCTGCCAATTACCAGTCCCCACCTCCTCATCTGTGTAATGGAGGATAACAGGAATAATCTTTGTGGGGATGCTGGCAAGGTTTTAAAAGACAATTTGGAGGGAACAGAGAGATGGCTCAATGGTACAAGCACTTGCTGCCCTTATACAGGACTTACAGAGTTTGGTTCCCAGCACTTACATGGTGGCTCACAACTGTCTCTGACTCCAGTTGCAGGGGATCTGATGCTGTTTTCTGGCCTTTTGGGACACTGCATGTACAAGGTGCACATACATACATACATACATACACACATACATGCAAGCAAACATTAAGACACATACAAAAAAAAATCTTTAAAAGATCACAATAGGTAGGGCTGGGCAGTGGTGGTGCATGCCTTTAATCCCAGCACTTAGAACACAGAGGTTTCTGTGAGTTCGAGGTCAGCCTGGTCTACAGAGTAAGTTCCATGACAGCCAGGGCTACACAGAGAAACCCTGTCTCAAACAAATGAACAAAAATGTAGTGGGTATAAAATCCCTTAGAGTTTCACTGGATGCTGGAGAAAGCCTTCCCCAGGCCATGACAGATTTGAGTATCAGCTGTAACTATTAGTGTTGCTTTGCTGGTCAGGAGGGTGGGCAGCGGTATTATGAGTGGAGCATGTGTTTCAGCAGAGGTAGCCTGGGGTCAAGGGCCACAACACATCTTACCAAACATCTAATCAGCCCTTGTTCAGGCCCTGAAGTTTCAGCTGTTGGTTTATGGCACCAAGAATATTTTTAAATTCTTGTTTATCAGAAACCAGTTCCAAGTGAATGGAGCAGAACTTATAGTGGTCTTCCCATCTGAAGAATCCCAGGCTGCCACCCACCGAGGGGCATCAGGCCTTCTTGCTGTCCCTATAGGAAGCTACTTCTGAAATCCCTGGCACAAGTTGGTCTGTAGGGTCCCAAGCTATCCCTGGTGCTGGTAATGGAAAGGGAGCCTGAGGGACAGATGCCTGGCAGAGAAGTCCTTACCAGAAGAGAAGAGGAAACGTCAGAGCTGATCTCTCTTCTTGTGGTTACCAGAGCAAAGACAAGGGACTGTCCCCCCTTGCTGCATCCCCCCTCTCTTTACTCTGTCCTCTCCCATGCCACAAACACACCCAAAGTTGCATAGATGTCTGTTGCAACCAGATTGGGTGCATTGCAGCAAATGGGCTTCTATTAAGACGAGAAGGGAATCCTCCCTCACGACCTCCTCTAGGGCCAGGTTACTCACCTACTGACACAGTAGAACGCAATCAGTCTGAAGATGTCCTCAAACACAAGAACTGAGCCTTCCAGGTACAATACTGGGGAGAGACAAGAAAGGCCCTAGTAAGTATCTCTAATGACAAAGGGGAAGGGCTGGGTACTTTCCTAGATATGGAAGGTGGTACATGTTGACCCTGTTCTCCATAGAGAACCCATAGGTCCTGGCACCTCCCATAGGACCCCAGTATGTATCATCTGCCAACTGCAGTAAGAAACAGCTCACGGAGTCGATGTGCGGAGAGTCCGGGGTTTACAATTGCTGTGGCTGATAATCAGCTAATACATGTTCACACATTCGTCATTTTTGATGAAGAGGATTTAAAAGGAGAATGGCCGGTGTAGAGCCAGTCTCAGTAGACACTGGCTTCCATGATGTCTAAATCAGGTCCATGACCACATGCCTATCATTTTTTGCTCCCTGAACTCAGGAGTCTACACTGGGCTTCCCTGGCCCTCAGTGTGCTGAAGAATGTGTGAACTGAGTTGTTCTTGTATCTTTTCCATGTGAAGAAGGAACAAGAGATAGTCCAACTGGGCTTCTGAACCTAGCTTTAACCCCGGATCTGATAACCCGGCTCTGCACGCACCCCTTTCCAGCTCAGTGTTTCAGTTTCTCCCACCCTCCAAGGGAACGGCCCTTTCAACCTAAAGATAGTGTCGTCTAGGTGATACCAGCCTACTACCTAGTTTGTGGGGCCTAGGCCAGTTTTGCACAGGTCTGGAGGTTGGAGAAGACCACAGAGCGAGCGACACGGATCAATGTACATGTACCAACTGCTTCCCCCTCACTCTGTAACCTAAGCACTGTTCTCAACAGCTCAGGACATCTTAAAAAAATTAATATTTATCTATGACAAATAGGTCCTGGCTTCCCATTTGGTTAGATAGAAATATTTATAAAGAGGTTTTCAAAAAAAAAAAAAATCCTGCTCCTGATATTTCCACCCTCTGGGAGTGCCCCTGTGGTCCCGTCTGGTAATCTTGAGGCTCTCTTGTCTATGGTCTAATTATTTCCAAAATAAGCTCATAGGCCTTCTCCCTAGATATCAAAAGGGGTGCCTTGAACCTAAGGGAGTCTCTCTGGAGCACCCTGAACCACAGCCTGCTGGAGTTGTAGAACATGGAAGTCAGTATGAGAGAAGGCATTTATTTGTTCCAGGGTCTGTATCTGGTACTGCACCTACCTGGGGCTTGTGTGTGTATCTGGGCATTAAATCACTGTGGCAGGAGAGTGTCTCTATGAGCTTGTTTCAATAGCCTGTCTGTGCCTCAGTTTCTATAGCTGTGAACCAGGGCTACAAGTGTACCCAGTTTTCAGGACTGAACTGTGACCTCCCCCCCAAAGATGTATTAAAGTTCTGATTCTTAGAATGTGGCATGTGAACTTATTTGGAAATCTTTGCCATGCTTGGTGTCCTTTCTGTAAGAAGGCTTTGTGAGTAGACAGAACACCAAGGCATAGAGAAGGAATGACTACATGAAGACAAAGGCAGACCCTAGGGCTGGGAGACCAGGAACACACTTGAGTCTGAGGCCTCAGAAATAACCAACCCCACCCAACCTTCCTTTAAGGTGTCTGGCCCCCAGAACCGTAAGAAAGTTAAGTTTCTGTTACTGAAAGTCATCCAATTTGTATCCTTTGTTGCAGCAGGAAGGAAAGAACACACCACCTTTTAAGCATGAAATAAAGCAATTCTTGGGAGCCATTTCTGATAGCACAGGACACTTTAAAATAATGGTATTGGCCCGTTAAGACAACCAGAGAGGCCAAAGGATTCCATGGCTATACATGGTTGCATGTGCAGCTTCTGCACGGAAGCCATATGCTGAGGGGGGACCCTTCTCCCTCAGTTCTGTCATGCATTCCTCATTCCTACCTCCTGTCTCTGCCCTTCGAGCCTGCAGGGCTCTCAGCCCTCAATCTACCCTCTGCCCCTAGCTTTGTTTCTTCATTCTTTTTTTTTTTTTGTCTTTTTTTTTTTTTGGTCTGGTCCCCAGAGGCTGGGGACCAGCAGAGCTCAGGGGCATCTTGCTTTCCTGCCTATGTGTCTAGCACACAACTGGGCCAGGCACATAGCCAGGGTCCACAAAGAACAGGGTAGAATGGGCCTTCTGGTGTGGTGACGGTGAGCATGCCCAGTCTGAGAGAGAATGGGTGGTTGCTTAGAACAGTGTGTCTGAGCCAGGATGGGGGTGAGGTGGCAGAGTTGGGGAGTTTGGAATGAGGGGTTCTGTGCTAAACCATAAACGGCGTATTTAGCAGAGTTCAGAGGCTCTATGCATGTTTACGCTGTTAGGCAACATGAGGTTTCCTCTAGTTGTGGTGAAACATTCTTAAATGGTGGTGGCAGTTGCCCAACTCTGAATACGCTAACGCCACTGAATTATATGCTTTAAATGGGCCGATCATACGATACCCAAACACAGTGAATAGACACGTCTGAATAAAGTTTAAAGAAGGCTGTTACTTAAAAAAGATGAGGAAGGTTCACCAGAGTGGACTCAGCCTTCCTGCATCATTTTGCTGACATTTTTATTATGAGTAAGAATGACTTTTTTTTTAAGTTAAAAATATTTTATTTTTATATGTATGGGTGCTTTGCCTGCAAGTATGTCTGTTCATCATATGCATGTGGAAACCAGAGGGGGCATCAGATCCCCTGAAACTGGATTTATAGACAGTTGTGAGCTACCATGTAAGTGCTGAGAATTGAACCTGGGTCCTCTGAAAGAGCAGCTAGTACTCTTAACCAGTGAGCCATCTCTCCAGCCTCAAGTATGGCTTCCATAAGCAGGATTTGTCAGGGATGTCTCCTAAAGTAGTTTCTGGTATATCCTCAGAAGCTGCCAAAGCTGACAAATGCCCAGACCCCAGCACTGCCAAGAGGCCATGTCACCTTTAACTTCACATTGCCTTTACATGGGGTGGCCTTGGGGACACCCAGCACCCACTTCTGCACTTAACAATATCCTGGGGCACAGAGCCTGCCAGCCTGTCCCTCCTGACCAAGACACTAGACCAGCTGGTCGTGCTGGATGTCAAAGCATCTATCTTCTCCAGAGCCCCTCAGTGAGAGCCTTAGTACAGAATACTCCAGAGGTCTCACCTCACAGGGTGATTCTCTAGAGCCAGCCAGTGGGAGCCAGTCTGTACTGAGATGGCCACAAGTGACAGCAATCAGAATCTGCTTCTTAGAAGGTGGTCTTTTCCTTACCACTCTTCATCAAGGCTGGATGACGTCAGGGGGTGGGGGAAGAGATGCAGCAGGCTAGCTCCTGGCTTTTACAATATCAACATTAGAATGGGACACTGTTGTTGTTGGTTCCATTCCATGGCAACCTAATAGTTGTTATGCCTTCCTGGTGCTGGGATGAAAGGCATGCCCAGCTAAAAATAGAGGAAAAGAATTAAATGAATAAACCTTTTAAAAAGAGGCAGAGGAGCCAGGTGGTAGTGACATACACCTTTAATCCCAGCACTCAGGAGCCAGAGACAAGTGGATCTCTTGAGTTCAAGGACATCCTGGTCTATAAAACAAGTTCCAGGACAGCCAGGGATATTCAGAGAAACCCTGTCTTAAAAAAATAAAAATAAAAAATAAGCCAAGCATCTGAATAGACATTTTTTTTTTTTGTAAAAAAAAAAAAAGGTATACAGGCACACACAGCCAATAAACACATAGAAACATGCTCTCAGCCTCACTGGTCTTTAGGGAAATGCGAATCAAAACTACAGGATACAGTTTGTGCTCTCTGGGATGCCTGTCATCAAAAAGTCAGACAGCAAGTGTTACTAAAGACAGGCAGAAATTGGAACCATCACACACGGCTGAGGCGAACAAAGTGATGTCACGGTGGAAATTAGTTTGGTAGTTTCTTAAACCTACAAAATTACCAAGAATGCATGGATATGCCTATGTAAGCCGAACACAAAGGTGTTCACAGTAGAGCTCTTTATGCCAGAGGCTGGAGTACTATGCCAAACACTGTGCTTGGTGCTGGAGGTACTGAGGACAAGAAAATAGGCGTACGTAATCTCTGCCTTTTGCAGGACATGTGTTTACAGAGTGACAAAGAGGAATTGACCTTTTAAGATATCTGATAGCTGTATAAGTACAGCTATTAACACATAGAGGCAGGCAGTTCTGAGTCTGAGGCCAGCCTAGTCTACAGAGTGAATTCCAAGACAGCCAGAGACACACAGAGAAACCCTGTATCCAAAAAATATTTTCCATTTTTTTTATGTGTATGGATTTTTCTGCTTGCATGCATACGTATCTTTAGCATGTAATATCTGTGGAGGCTAGATGAGGGCATCAGATCTCTTGGGACTATAGTTACAGAGAGTCGTGAGCTGCCATGAGGATGCCGGATTCGAACTTGGGTCCTTTGGAAGAGCAGGCAGTACTCTTAACGGCTGAGTCAACTCTCTAGTCCCAGTTATTAATTTTTGATGTTGAGTTTTGAGAGTAAAGTCTAGATACTAGCCTTTTGTCAGATCCATGCCTTCCCAAAGATTTAAGGATGGACAGAGGAAGGATGTGGTTTGTCCATGGGCTTAGAGATGCTCAATGGCATTGCATAAGCGTATGCCAGTCCAGCGTATCTTAGGGATTTCCACTAACAGTCAGTTCTTCTCCCCCTGAAACAGTTTATGTGGAAGTTCTCATCACTGTCAACTTGACAGGATTTAGAGTCACCTAGGAGACACACCTCTGGGTATTTTTGTGGGAGAGTTTCCAGAGAGGTTTATCTGAGCTGTGAAGATCCATCCCAGTTGTGAGCGGAACCATCCCATAGGCTGGGGTCCCAAACTGAACGCAGAAGAGAAAGTGAACTGAGCTGTGGATGGGGCTCTCATTGCTCCCCCAGTGCAGATGCAGAGGGGCCAGCCCATTACTGATCCTGCCGCATCTTCCTTCCCTGAGTGGTATTTTTGTCAAAATTTTGTCATAGCGATGAGGAAAGTAACCCAGGCAGTTAATATGCCGTGGGACTTGAACGGGTCCCCATTCTCAACTAAGCCACAGTCTTCTCT